CACTTGTGGGGATGAGCACTGAGTGTTATGTGGAAACTAATTTGACAATAAACTATTTGTAAAAAAAATAAATAAATAAAAAGAAAAAAAAATAGCAGTGCCTGCTGTCTCTGGCATGACAGTTAAGTTAAAAATGGATTTCTTGTCTTTGCCTACAAGCAGATGTCAAGGTTCCTTGGTATTGTTCCTAAGGAGAGTCCACAGGATTCTAGTAAATAGCTTAAATTTTTTTTAATTTTACAGATACTTGATTTACTGTGCTACTAGGACTCAAATATATTCTCTTAAATACTGTGAAGGATAGGTGGAAATATTTTTTACCTGTCATATTTGATGAAGATACTAATAGAGTAAAATAAAGTTATTTGAGGGGCACCTGCTGGCTCAGTCGGAGGGGCATACGGCTCTTGATCTCAGGGTGGTGAGTTCAAGTCTCATGCTGCATGTAGAGATTACTTAAATAAGTAAAGATAGATAGATAGATAGATAGATAGATAGATAGATAGATAGATAGATAGGAAGCCTGCCAGCCAGCCCTGGACAGCAAACAGGAGTTTCTGATTATACAACCCATTATCTTAACATACTTTGTAATAATTCACCTTTTCTGGGGCGCCTGGCTGCCTCAGTTGATGGAGTGTGCAGCTCTCGACCTCACACTTGTGTGTTCAACCCCATGTTGGGTATAGAGATTACTTTAAAATCTTTAAAAAGAATTGTGCATCTTTTCTTAATTAATTAAAAAATCATAACTGTATAAACTTTGGACTTTGATCAAACATGAAACATAGTTAATTCCTCCAGTACCTATTCATTGAGTATCTATCTGACAGGCATGATGCCAGTAACTGTTATGTAAAAGCAGACCTGGTCATTGTCCCCTCCACTGACCCTGTAGCTTAGTGGGAAAGATAGACCTCAGTCAAATAGTTATATAAATGAATATGAGATTTTGGTCATGGGGCGCTTGGGTGGTTCAGTCGGTTAAGGCATCTGACTTTGGCTCGGGTCATGATCTCATGGTTCGTGAGTTCGAGCCCCGCATCAGGCCCTGTGCTGACAGCTCAGAGCCTGGAGCTTGCTTCGGGTTCTGTGTCTCCCTCTCTCTCTGCCCCTCCCCTGCTCGTGCTCTGTCTGTCTGTCTCTCTCTCAAAAATAAACATTAAAAAAAAAAAAAAAGATTTTGGCCATGTACCAGGAAAGGATTACTTTGCCGCCCTGAGAGAGCATAGGACAGGACTTGTCCCGGCTAAAGGATCAGAGCAGGCCTCCTTCAGGAAGAGTCAAGCTGCCCTAAGATGTTAGGGTGATTCAGGTTCACCAAGCAAGGAGAAAGTAAGAGTGATCCAAGCCGAGGGAGCGTGAGGTGTTCAGAGAACCATAAGCCACTAGCGTGACTAGAACCCAGAGAACAAAGAGGAGGCCCGAGGCCTTCAGAGGGGTGGAACCATCCAAGCTTTGGGCAGGTTTTAGCTATGTTTTGAGTGGAACTGGGAGTTCAGAGTGAAGGCATTAAAATCAGCTCATTCTGGAAGCCCTTGAAGAGGTAGCGGGCGAGGGGCCAGCACTGGTCCAGGTAGTTCCTAGTGCCGCAGCCCAGGGCAGAGGTGATGGCGGCTTGTACAAGAGCCCCAGCGACGTGACGTCATGGCACCTGGCTCTGTGTTAGGCAGTGGGGTGAGGGAGGACACCCAGGTCTCCAGCCAAACCAGGTAGGTGGCGGTCCTCTTTGCAGAGAAGCAGAGGGCCAGGTGGGGGTGCGTGTCTTCACCAACGGGACCGGCTTCCCTAATCAGTCCTCTCATTTCTGCTTTTTCCAACAGGGTAACTTCTTTCAAAATATTGGTTCCATCACCCTGTTTGCTGTCTTCGGTACGGCAATTTCCGCATTTGTAGTAGGTGGAGGAATTTATTTTCTGGGTCAGGTAAGAAAACATCTTTGAAAAATCCTGAAAATCTTGGGTTCTTAGAGCTAGTGCGGCGGATGGGGTAGGGACAGATACCTCTTGGGGCCTGGGTTCCATGTTCAAGGTAAACGCTGTCCTGGAAGGAAATCCAAACTCTGAGGCACACACACCGGAAGTGCTCCTAAGTGTCCTCGAAGAGCTTTGGTGTCTGGAATCGAGTGGCCCTTCTCCATAATACCCACAAGTATTTGATCTTATCTGCAAACCAGTAATTTAAAACAGAATATTTAAATTAAAGCAGATACCATCAAGGTCCTCAGATTATAACCGTATCAGTTGTGTTATCAGGTAAATGGAATCAAAGTGAAATAAGGTTTCTTAGTAAAAATTTGCATTTTAAGAATCAAACTCGATTCTGAATATGTTCACTTAATTCTAAGCTGTCCACCTGTAGAATTCTACACTCTGGATTTTCCAACGTTGCTAAACCAAGTCCCAGTGTCATCAATTGGGCATTCTGTACTTTGAGTTCAAATTAATTTGAATTAATTTAAACCAAACCTACCCAGAAAGGTAATATCTATAGTTTTGCACTCTGCATGTCTCTGCATGCCATAGTTCTTTTCTTTCATGGTCACTTGCAGAAAGTGCACCTGCCCTGGTTCTGTAACCTGGGTGTCCGAGTCAGGCGCCCGGGTGACCAGCAGGCCTCTCGTGTGTGTCAGATGTGTTTGCTTCCGCTGGTAGCTGTCGGGCAGAGCCCCCTGCCTCTGATTGTCCCCGCACTGCTGCCTCAGTGGCACAGCGTAAATCTGTCTGTCGTGCAGCCTTCTGTGCTCAGCTTCTAGTAGCAAGTGGGAATAAACTTAAGAAAACTGTACGTAATTTGGCTTGAAAAATGTAGTATTCTTTTCTGTGCTTCTGTTGTATAATGATCGAATGCATGCTTAAACTACAACTTAGGAGTTTTCTTTGTTTTTCAAGTGGTTTGGGGACTGAAGATTAATGTCCTTATTAGTTTCTAATAAAGCACTAATGGACATTTTAATCTTCTTGGCTGTTCTCCAGGGGTTTTTTTTTGTGTCTGTATGTTTGTGTGTTTTATTTTACAGGCTGATGTAATCTCTAAACTCAACATGACAGACAGGTAAATCTTTCATACTGTCACCCCCGTGTGACTACTTTTCAGACTGGGGAAAGTTTTCTCCACATTGATCCCTGGGTGCGGTATTTCTCTTTCTGTCTCTCTTTGTTTTGCTGATGATTTCTGCTGAATTAACTTGTGGCTCAGAAATTAATCAAAACCATATTGTGGAATTTTGAAGATCTCTAGTCAGAGGATTGCTGATTGAAATCATTGATTTAGTTTAAGCTTGGGAGGGAATATCTGTGGTCAGTTAACGGCACCCTCTCCCCGGCACTACCCACTGCATCTTGCATTATCCAGAATCATCTTCACCTAATTTCTGAGTCTTTTCAGTGGCCACAATGAAAAGTTGTCCTCTTGATAGATGGAGGGGGAGTGAGGTGTGTATCTCTATTCTGGGAGTCGCGCCAAGCCAGGCGTGGAATGGGCTGGGGGGAGCAGGCAGGGCCAAGGTCTCCAACTGTTGGTGTCTCTGTCAGTCTGAAGCTACCCCAGTGAGCCCTGAGAGCTGCTGTCTAAGAGCCCAGCCCAGGAATTTCCTTCATCAACTTAGCAAGAAGCCACCTAGGCCGCTGTCTCCTGGATGGTACCCGATCTAGGGCTAAGAAAGTGCACATGCAGAGTGAGGCCTGGTGCCCTCCCATCACTGGGAAGCCTCGTGAGTGTGCAGCCCCAGTCTGTGTCCCTGCACCATGAGCGCTTGCTTCGGTGGCCCAGCTGGGGGCAGGAAGCAGGGCTGAGGTGGCCGGCCGGCTCTCCCTGTCAGGCCGGTCAGAGCTATCAGTCTTCAGCAACCTGGGGACTGGACTCTCAGAGCCATTTTCACGGGAAATGTACCTCTGAGAACAGCCAGTCCAATCTCCTCTCCCCCCAGGGACATAACTTTTGGAGCTTTTGTTGCAAGATAGTCTTGATATATAAGCAAGTAGCAAAAATCACATTCCTGTTCCATAAGGAGCTGGAAATAGAGCAGCACCGAGCCCTGCACTTTGTAAGTATTTTGCAAGTGAAGACAGACGCCCCATCCTAGTCATACCAAGAGGATGTCACAGCATTCAGTCCTGCGACCTGCTTTGGGGAAGCTGGTTAGAGAAACAGAAAATGCTCGATAAATTCTTGTGAAATCGAATTAAACCGATGTTTGTTGGGATGTACAGGGAGAGAAGAGTGAAAGAATTGTCCCTCAGACAAGCAGAAAGAACAGGGTGGGGATTCTCTCTCTGTGTGCAGGCACTTCCTGTCCTGTTAAAAGGTGACTGTCCTGCAGACGGGGAGCCCTCTGGGGAAAATGAGCAGCAGTTGCAAACCTGGCCGAGCACTTAGCAGAGGGAACTGCCAGGTGTCCAGGGGTGGCCACAGCGGGCATCTGACGAGTACACCCTGTCGGAAGGGGACAGCCACGCCTCGGCTCCACCTAGTAATCGCCATGGGGGAGCACAGGCGCGGCATTACTAGATATTAACAAAATATTTTTTTGAAAAAGTTTCTAGATTTTAATTAGGGAATTTTCTAGATTTTAAATGTTGACAACGTGCCTTTTTTTTTTTTTAAAGTTTATTTATTTTGAGAGAGAGAGGAAAAAACACACGTGTGCACAGGAGGGGCAGAGAGGGAGGGAGAGGAAGAGAATCCCAAGCAGGCTCAGCGCTGTCAGGGGCTCAAACTAACTCATGAACCTGTGCAATCCTGACCCGAGCCAAAACCAAGAGTCAGACGCCCAACCGACTGAGCCACCCAGGTGTCCCAAATGCTGACAACTTAGAATCAATTTTTCAAAATGCCACTTAGGTCCACATAAGACCCCTAGGTCTCTGCACAGGGGAAAATATAAACATAACTTTGTTAAACAGAAGATTGTATTGTAGAAACATTTCTGCTGGAGAGAGATGTCACTGGTAGATTCACCTGAGTCACTTCTCCGTCCCAGTCAGTTTCCTTTTCACTTTGTTCACTCTTTTGAGATGATGCAATAAATTAAAAAAAAAAAAAATGCATTTTTCAGTTGAACTTGTAGCTGCTGGCCTTTTAGAGGACCAGCCATGGGGGGCAGAGCACAGCTGACGGCACAGTGAGGTGACTCCTCTCGGTGAATCGGGCCGTTGGTACGTCAGTACTCCAGGAAAACTCTGCCCCCGAGCAGATCTCCAACCCAAGATGAATGTGCTAGATGCTTTATGCACAGCATTCCCCCCCCTCAACCTTTTATTATGAAAATTCCAAACCTACAGAAGAGGTAAAGCAGGCACAGTGGTCGCTCCGATGACCACCGGCCTGGTTCTGCAATGACCGTGTCACTGAATTTGCTTCGACACAGATCTTTCCATCCATCCGTCCCTCTGTCCGTTCATCAGTCGGTCTTGTAGTTCCTGCTCTGGTTTCAGTTCAGGTTCCCCCAGGAACCGTGACAAAACATCAGCCAGGCCTCTTTTAGCACAACTGAAACTCAGCACAACTAGTTTTAGCAAAACCAAAAAAGGTTGTTGTGGCTTATAGAACAGAAGGGTCCCGGAGTGATGGCTTCCGTCCTGACAGCCTCCAGGGCCGTACGGCTCAGGACACTCTCCTCTCCCTGGGTCTCCAGCCACCCTTCCCGACGGGCTGCGTCCTCGGGCATGCTGGTGGCAGCACTGGTGGTTCTGAGCCACCTATATGAGTGGAGGGTAGAGGAGGTGTGACTCCTCAAAAGGAAGTTGGGGTGCTGTTACCAAAACCAGGGGTGTGGACACCGAGCACAGAGACCCGTGGCTGTCTGCTTGGCCGCACTGTCCTTAGGAATGGAGGGAAGGGGCCGGCTGAGTTGCACGAAGGTTCCTGGGTTCCTCCTTCAGAGGAGGGGCCTCCCTCTCTCCTTCAGAATAACCTTTGTAGACATTGTTTTTCCTGAGGCCCCTGGCAATTTGCTCTGGGTGAGGAGAGTGGGAATCAAAGATGAGGGAAGAGACTAGCTCTGTGTCCAGGCTGCAGCAGGGGGCCCTCAAGGCTGGGCTGCCCACACAATGGGGCCCCTCAGGTTGGCAGCCATGTGGTGGTGGTGCCTGGCCTTCTCTCCCTGGCCCGCCCGCCCGCCCTCCTGCCTGCCTTCCACAAATACGTCTGGGCCGTGCTCAGCGCGGATCCTGGGAATGTACCCATGACTAAAACATAGTGCCCACCCCCTTGGCACTCACGGTGAGGGCGGGAGGCAGGTGACACGTGGCAGCCTCTGTGAGGACAGGGCAAGTCTGGAATTGAGCTCTGAACGGAGGCTGTCTTTCGGGGTTTTCTCCTCTGCGATCCTTGAGGTGAGCAGGCTTCCCACACGAGTTCACTGCTCGCTGCCTTGGAAGCTGCCTTGGAAGCCCGGATGCCAGGTTGCTGACTTACAAAGCAGGGCTGCCAGGCGTCCCTCCCCCTAGCTCTGCTCCCCCTGCGCCCAAGCTCACAGGACCGTGCAGGGCTGCTGAGCGCGATGCAGCGGGCAGGCCCACCCCCACCCCGGGCCAGTAGCTCCCCTTCCCTTCCAGACTGCAAGCGTGGTGAGGGCATGAAGCACTTGGGGGGGGGGGGGACAGGCTCTTGTCCACATCTCGCCCCTGGTCTGTCCCCTTGAGAGTCCCTGCTTTGTCTTACTCTGTGGGAGGGGGCCGACCTAATCTGTCTGCTGAGCTGGAAAGAAAGCAGAGCCAGGCGTGGCGTTCGAGGGGATTGGAAGGCTCGCAAGAACCCCCAAAGGATAAAAAGAAACAAGCCGATGTTTCAGACTCTGTGTCTCCCTCCCTCTCTCTCTGACCCTCCCCTGCTCACACTCTCTCTCTCTCAGAAATTAAAAAAAAAAAAAAAGAAAGAAAGAAAAGAAACAGGCAGAGAGGATAAATCATCCAGACTCCTGAGAAGGCCCAGGAGGTGCAGCCTCGCTTGCCAGCCTCTGACATCCCCTGCCGTTCCCTCCCGCGGGGCCATGGCCACACTCACCTGTTTCTCAGGCCACCAGGTCTGCCCCCACCAGGATCTGGGGACAGAGGCAGCTTGCTCCTCTGTCCCCAGATCCTGACTTGGCCACCTGCTTCTTGTCATGTAGGTCCTTGTTTAAATGTCATCTCTTCAGAGAAGCCTTTTCTGACCCTCCACTGTATGTGGCCCACCCCCCTGCCACCCACCAGATCACTATGATCTCCCACGTAACACTTGCCGTTTTCCACATCGGCCTTAGTCTCTGGATGTTGCTGAATGCAGTGTCACGGTGAGGAGTACGGACTCAGGGCCAGACGGCCTGTGTTTGGATCCTGGTTCTTGCCACTTCTTAGCTGTCTGACCTTGGGACAGGTTGCTTAACCTCATTGCCCCTCCGTTTTCGCTTATGTAACGGTGGTGGTGACAGTACCACCTCACGTGGTTGCTGTGCGGAGTTTTGAGTTACTAGACGTAAAGGGCTCAGAACGGTGCCTGGGACATGGTAAGGGCCACATCCGTGTTTGCTGATCAGTGTCATGACAGCCTCAGTGCCTGACACATACCAGGCAATTAATCTCTTTGTCGGAGGCAATGACACCTTCCCGGGCACTGCTCTGGGGCTGCGGGCCCGGTGGGAGGCAGCACTGGTGGCAGGCTCCACCACCCAAGCCACCCATCCCCTCGAGGCACGGCAGAGTTGCCACTGACTTTGGCACTTTCTTAGATGTTGCAACTCTGAGTAAATGCTGCGATCAGTCACAGGGGATACTCTGGTGGCCTGGTGGCAAGGGGAGAAGCAGAGGTCACACCCAGGAGCTCTTGAGACCCATGGGCGAGGCCCCCCTGACCCATCCTGGTTCCGGCTTCTCCGACAAAGGTCCAGGCTGGGATGCCTGTCATGTATTCTAAGCAAACGTCTCCCATCTGTCATTGGTCAAAAAAGCCTTGGCCGGTGGCCAGCAGGCCATTTCTAACACAGGCTGCGAGGTGGGCCTTTCACCGCCCCGCCCACAGTGTCAGCCAGCAGGTACTACAAGTGGGGAAGATAGACCGTCTTCTGACTTATTTCAGCCCCAGTGTGTATTATTAGTACGTCATACCACACACAGTCTGTGGCTTGGGTGCTTTATACGTGGACCACGTGACAAGCACTGCAGAATTACCCCCTTCCTTTTCTCTTCTTTGCAGTTTTGCATTTGGCTCCCTGATTTCTGCTGTTGATCCAGTGGCGACTATTGCTATTTTCAATGCCCTTCACGTGGACCCAGTGCTCAACATGCTGGTTTTTGGGGAGAGTATTCTCAACGACGCCGTCTCCATTGTCCTGACCAAGTGAGTGTCCTTCCTTATAGGACGCACCAAAGGTCCTTGTATCAAAGGGACAGGTATTTCCACGCAGTCTTTGTCGTCTGGGTGGTCGGTTCACTCGCTTCTCTGTCTTCTGTCCCACGCCCTGCTGCGGCCCAGCAGTGCTGTCCAGCCCCGGGCTGCTTCAAGGAGAGCCTGCCTCCTAGGACCTGTCTTTCCTTGGTGGTTCCAAGTCCAGCTTCTTGTTAGCACCCCCGGGGGTGCTTATTAACCAGAGCATTCCCAGGCCCCACCCTCACAGCTTCTGATTCATTTGTTTTGGGGTAAGTCCCAAGAACTTAGGCTTTTTGGGTTGTTTTGTTTTGTTTAGAGAGAGAGTGCTCGAGTAGCAAGGGCAGAGAGAGAGGGAGAGGGAATCCCGTGAGGTGCGGGGGGCGGGGGCGGTGGGGGAGAAACCCACCCAGGCTCCTCACTGTGAGCGCAGAGTCTGAAGCAGAGCTTGAGTTCACCCGAAGTGGGGCTTGAGCTCAGGACGAAGGAGCAGACTCCTTGGTGTTTGGAGAAACACAGTAAACAGAAGCCCTGCTCTCCCACTTAGGCGCTGTTGCACGTCTCCTTCCTTTTCACAGCTGTAAAATAAGCTAGTGGTACTAACAGGCGTCCCACCTTGAGATGCTGTTGTGTGAAAGCTACCTTGGAAACTGTAAATTGTTTTCAAATGTTCATTGGCATCACTGCCCTTGTTGGTGGGACCTGAGAAATTACCGATGAATCATAAAATGTCAAGAAGCCATTGGGAAAAAGAAATGAAATGAATTTAAGATCATCTCAAATGCATTTATCTGACTCAGGACTGTTTTCCTTGAACTCTGTCTTCCCTGGTGTTCATTAGCATGTATGGGCAGGAGATCCAAGCAGTTTTACCAGAAACAGAGAAGGCACAGATAGTCAAAGCCGTTGGAGGAAAGAGCCCTGGACAGTGTTTCTCAGACAAGCTAAGAGAATTTTAGGAGCCAGTCTGTGTTCCGCTCAAGAATAGAATCTCCATTATCTGAATACTGACTTGTTTCCTGTTATGGGATTCCTTGCTAAGCAGAACCACTCTGTAGTAGTTAGCGTTTCCTTGAAAGCTTTGTTAACAATTACACTTAGAATTTTTATGTTAGAATGAAATGACGTTTTTATAGTGGAAGGAACCCAGGGTTTGGAATCAGTCTGATCTGGGTTCAAGTCCCAGGGATGCCACTTACAGCCATGTGAGCCTGAGCCACTGTCTCTGAGCCACATGTATCTCAGCAGTAAAGTGAGGAGCTTCGGATTGGATTTGAGGACTGAATGAATACAGTGCTGTGTGAGAAGCGTCAGATATCAGTTAATGTGAGACCCTTTCCTCTTCTACGTCCTGTCCTCCAATCACTATTTCATGTCTTTGTCCTACTTTTGCAGGAAGAACTTTCCCAAATGATGCTTAATTAATTCCAAGAAGTGCTTAGCAGACCTTAAACAAAACCAATAATATATATTTTTGGTATTTGGTATTTTGGTATTTTGGTATTTGGTATTTTGGTATAAAAATATAAATATATTTTTTTGGTATTCTAAAAGTAATACATCTATTCTTCATATAAAATTTAGAAAATAGACAGAGATTACCTGCATTACTATTACCCAGAGGTAATTACAGTTCAGTTTGGTAGAAGTACACATACATTTTATTTAGATGGGCTTATACCCCATGTACTGTATTGTAACTTTTCCACTGAGCAAAGTTGAGAAATAATCTTCCATGACATCATTCTACTGGTTACAGAGTATTCCTTTCTACGAATTTACTATGATCTCTTTAGCAAGTTCCCCGTTATTGGCTTTTTCACATTTCTCTTGGCAGGAAACTTCCATGGCTTTATTAGGAAGTTCTCAGACATGATGCTATATATAAGACCTTTAAAAAACCTGATGGCAGTATTTTTTCTTATTTAAGGTCTACTCTGAAGACCTTTTCGCTTTTGGGTTTTGACTTTTGTTCTGTGTCTTGGTGACACATATCGAACATTTTTGATAAAGTATTTTGTCCAAATTGGAGGTGACATCATGAGTTATTTTTATGCATTAGGAGCTCAACTCAGCTGCTTTATCTCTATTTTGTTTTTAAAAATCTGTCAGAAGGAGGACCTTTTCTGAGCTTTTCCAGGAGGAAAAGGTTAAAGGTTTTCTGCTAAAGGCTTTAACAGAAGGTTAAAGATGAGGAGATATTTTCTTTTGAAAATGAGAAATGATGGAGTCACTGTAACAAGCCAAAGTTTCTTCCTGGAAAAGTGCTTCTGAAGGTCAAGATCGCCTGCGATGGCGGTTCCCAAAACTGGATCTGTGGGCCACATGCATGTGTTTCCAGCACCCCCCACCCCTCACCACTGCCGGCACATGGCCTGGGTGGGACATGCTGAAGACCGGCCATCCACCCCCAGCATCTGGTGAGGGCCCACCAGGTGCAAGGTGTTGCTCAGAGACCCGCCGGACTTGACGAAGCTCGGTCCAGGGTGGGAGAAAGCTGCTCATGGAGGAGTGAGCACTGTGCCTTGAGCATGAGAGAGAGAGACGGCCATGCCGAGGGGTTCGAGTGAGGCTTCTCAGCCACGCTGTCCTGTGAGCCGGCCGGCATGTTCAGGTTGCAGAGGGGAGGGTGAGAGGGCCACATCAGCTTTCCGTGCTTACAGGGTAGAATCACGTCTGGTTTCAGAGTGTACTTCCAGTGGGAGAAACAGGACCTGAAAAACAAAAATGTAGACATTTACCAGGCCAGGAAGAGTCCAAATTCGAATTTCGTTTATCTTGTATGACATCACCGGTGACTCACTTCCCTGGGGCCTCCGCATGAAAGGAAAGCAAGTCTCCAACCAGTGTACCAGCTGTGGCAGCGAGAGGGGGTGGGGGCCAGGCACTGGGTGCAGGTGGCCTGCAGGTCTGTTGGGGAACTGTGGGTGGCTGTCAGCACTCCCCAAGCTGGGATGTTAACCTGTGGTCTGCTGGGAAAGAAAGGGCTGGGGGAGTTGTGCAGAAAACGTGTGTGTGAAAAGTTAGATTTCTTTTTTTTGCAGGACTTTTCAGAACCTTTATTATGTTACACTGTGCTGCCAGTCACTACTGAAAACTTCCTGAGGTTATTTGGTCAGGCTACCCTTTTGTCAGAGATTTTCCCACTTTAAAATTATAACAATTCATGAAACACTGATGAATGAAACTGAATATTTCTATTGACAGGTCTTTGTTTTGTTTACTGATTCAGCAGAAATGTACTGAGTGTCTTCTGTACTGAGTGTCAGTATACTGGGCCCCGCCGTAGGCCCCGGACATGTGGCAGGGAACCAGGTGGACTCGGGTACGGTCTCCGGGAGTGACTCCGACTTGGCACTTGCTGGGAAGCCGTCAGGCACCAGGAGAGCCTGCAATATGTGAAGGGGTCAGGCCAGCTGTCCCTGAGGAGGTGACATTGGCCCTGGGTTCTGAGGAACAAACTGGGGAGTTAGCTGGGGGCAGGGAACAGGGAAAGATGACCTACCGAGAGGTGCCCAGGACAGCGGGGCCCTTTCGGAAAGAGGAGAGACGGGGTCACGAGGGCAGAGGAGTCAGGTCGTGCGTAGGCTGGGCTTCCTCCTGGGAAGCAGCAGGGATCTGTTGAGGGGTTTGAACAGGCCGGTGACCCGGTCAGGTTGTGTGTTTTAAAGGGACCATCCAGGCCAGTGGGCGGAGAATGGGTCGGTCCCTGGGAAGACAAGGATGTTTAGACAGAGTGATGAAGCACAGGGCCCGGAACAGAGGCGGGTAAGGGACGGAAGGAGACAAGTGGATGGATCGGAGAGTGGTCTAAGGGTAGAATCCGGTAGGAGGAGGATTTTTAGTTAGAACAACTCCATTGTAATGGTACATTGGTTTTCCTCTCAGGGATAAAACCATTAATTGAATTTAATGGCTTCTGACATTTTACTTTGCTCTATTATCCTAAAAGGAAAGTTCTTTTAATTGTCCCTAATGCCTCCTGAATCCACTCTCTCAGCCTGTACCCAGTGACACTTTTTTTTTAATTTAATTTAAGTTTAAATTTATTTATTTTGAGAGAGAGAGAAAGAGCCTGAGCAAAGGAGGGGCAGAGAGAGAGGGAGAGAGAATCCCAAGTTGTCAGTGCAGAGCTTGATGCGGGGCTCAAACTCATGAACCGTGAGATCGTGACCTGAACCAAAACCAGGAGTTGGACAGTTAACCCACTGAGCCACCCTGGCGCCCTCCCAGTGACCCTTCTTTAGGTCGCCCCACTCTCATCTGGTTTCCTGCCATTGCTTCAATACCAGGTTTTATCCCAGGATCCCCCCCAGACTAGAAACACTCCCCATGGCTCCCTAGTGCCTTTGGGATGAACTACCATCTCCTTAGCTTAGTTCATCAAAAGCCTTTCACACGTCCGCCACGGCTGCTGGTCTTGGCTTTTCTCTTGTCGCTGTTCTCCCCACTGGCGCCCCCGCCCCTGTCCCGGCCCTGTGTTCTGTCCCTGCTGATCTATGTAATGGAAGCTCCCAGAATGTGCTGTGCATCTCGGGCTCCTTGCCTCTGCCCGTGCTATCCCCTCCGCCCGTGGCACTTTCCCTCATTTCTTCACCAGAGTTAATTCTTCTTTTTTCTAAATCTGAACCCAGCCCACATGTCATGAGGAACCTTTCTCGACCGCCGCCAGCCCGAGTTAGATGCCCACCTGTGTTTCTGCAGCCCTTTGCCCTTCCCCAAGGTGGTCATTTATTCCCATCCTGTTTGTCTGCCTCACCAGACTGAAGGAGCCCTTCCAGGGCAGCGACTGCTGTCCTCTCTAGAGCCCTTGAAACTCACTCCATGCCTGCAGCGAAGTAGGGGAGCAAATAAGTGACCCAACCGAATGACAGAATGAATGAATGAATGAATGAATGAATGAATGAATGAATGAGTGCCTAAGCAAGAAATCAAGTTCTGAGTTTTAGTTAATTTCTAATAACTTTGTCTATGACATTTTAACTTCTTCTGTTTTTCTTTTATTTCCTAGCACAGCTGAAGGCTTAACAAGGAAAAATATGTCAGATGTCAGTGGGTGGCAAACATTTGTACAAGCCCTTGGCTACTTCCTCAAAATGTTCTTTGGCTCAGCAGCACTCGGCACCCTCACTGGCTTAATCTCTGCACTAATATCCTTTTAATATGATGAGCACGCATGGCCGAGAAGATTTTCTTAATTACACTCACCTTCAGCCATTTTCTCCCCTTTCTTAAGGAGGCCGGGGGCCAGGTTTAGTCTAAGGTTGAGTTTGAGCAAGGACCTTTTTTTAGTTTTGGTTTGAGGACCACTTTAATTGAAACTCAAGGGTTTTTAGATTTGACATGTAAGATTTAGGACGTCACTGTTCAAAACTTCAAATCTCAGTTGGATCTGATTCAGGGGAGCTTCTCAGTTCAGAAGACTTTCAGTTTCTACTGCCTCACTTTTCAGAGAACTGGAAATTAATTTCCTCTGAAAATATCAACTTGACTAAGTCTTGACCACACTGAAAGTGCTTATCTGGAAGACTAGAGAAGAGACTTTTAAAACAGCTCCATCCAAGTTATTCACACTGATTGCATTAACAGCCCAAAAGCTTTTCCAGCCCGAGGAAGAAAGAGGCTCATTAAGGCCAATGACACCTTCATTGCTGTAGAAAATTTGTCCTGGTTAAACTAGGAACAGGCACCAGACCATTTCTCTGGGAGCCTAAGCCTGCGTCTCGGGGAGCTGGCCTCCTGGCCCTCCTCCGCAGGCAGTTTGTTCCACAGATGGCCTTCGGAAGGGCCACCGCTGCCTGGGACAGATGTACTTGTCTGCCGTCCTGTTGAATTTTGCCTTCACCTCCTTTGTCCGGAAGTCTAAAGGCTCTATTGTTGGCTGACAGCATCTCATATTGAACCAATAAATGGGATGGAAAGGAAAACTTCTTCTAGTTCAGCATTTTCCTCCATGTTCCTCTTGGGGGGGGGGGGGTGGGGGCGGGAAGCATGGGCTCTGATGAGACCGAGCAGACCAGACCGGGGCTGTATTTGAATACAGAGAAGACCGTCCTCCCGCAGGAGCGAGTTGAGAGATCTCCAGGAGTCGGAAAGGAGGTCCTCAGCGGGCATTTTACCCCGGGCTTCTGGGCACCCCATAGGCAGTCTCCTCTGACGTCAGGAGGGGGACCTGGCATCGTGGGCTGTCCTCAGTCTGGCTGCGGCCCCAGCTTTGCCCCCGCAGCCCCGGCATGCCGTCAGCTTCCCGAGTCAGCAGTTTTTAAACAAGTTGACTTAGGTTGATTTTAGTTTTTCCCCCACCATGTGTCTTAGGACTTGATAGTTTCTTAGTGTTTTGTCAGGTTCCCTATCTTAAGACAACAGTCTCCCTGCAAGGAAGAAAAAAAAAAATCCATAATGACAGATTTTCCTGTGTTACCTCAGAATGTCCCAAAATCATTTGTATTCGTTGTTTACCTTATGTATGGGGAAGGCAGCGGTTTTGTGACTTTTCTGCATCTCCCATCAACTGTCCCTTCGTTCTTTTTCCTTGACAACTGTTATTTACGTGCTAAAGCATATTGACTTGAGGAAAACACCTTCCTTGGAGTTTGGCATGATGATCATTTTTGCTTATCTTCCTTATGGGCTCGCAGAAGGAATCTCGCTCTCAGGTAAGTGACAGAAACATCGAAATGCTGGAGTTGACAACGCGTTGTCCTGCCTGGTGCTGTCAGTGGGGTCACTTTCAATTGCAAGAGACAGTCACAACTCAGAAGAGCGTAAGCAGTAACCGGGATGTGCCAGCCCTCCAAGGATACCTCCGAATTTAGACCTGGCTAGATTCGGGGGTCAGTGTCATGGTCACATTTTCTCTTCACCCACCATCCTGTAGCAGAGTAGCAGAGATCAAAATATCCCTTCCCGTGCTGCCGCTTTCCCAGAATAAGGTCTGTAAGGGGCCTTCCCTCAAAGGATGGGGTCAGCCTGCCAAAGACCGTCGATCCTCTGGCCTGGCCTGGCCCTGGCCCCTGGCACCCATGGACCTGCTGTATTCTAGCACTACCGCTAGAGTCCATTTTCTAGAATGCCATACGAATGAAATCATGTAGTAGACAGACTTCTGTGCTTCCTTTCTTTCAGTTTTCATAATGCTGAGGGACATCCATGGTTTATGTATCAGTACTTTATGCACACATTCTTACTGCGCCACAGTTTATCCATTTGCCATTTGAAGGACATTTGGGTTTTTTCAGATTTTAGCTATGAATATTTGTGCATATTTTCAATTATCTTGGATAAATACCTAAGAGTGGGGTTGCTGGGTCATATAGTAAGTATGTATTTTATGTTATTACAAACTGCCCTGTGTTTTCTGAACGATGGGACCATTTTGCATCCCCACCACAATGTGAGAGGGAGTTCCAGCTGCTTCATGGCCTCATGGACACTTTTAATTTTTAAAAGTTTAACCATTCTGATAGGTATGTGGCAATTTGATTTTGATATGTTTTGGAGTAATTCTCTTTATATTCTTCTTGGGGTTCACTGAGCTACTTGGGTTCATAGTTTATGAGATTATAGCTCTTTACCAAATTAGGTAAATTTTTACCCATTTTTATAAACAACTTTTTTCTGTTCCCTCCTCTTTTCCCCTGTTGGGATTCCAGTTACTTAAATTATGATAGACAGCTTGCTATCATCCCATAATCCACTTTGCCTTTCTAATTTTTTTCAATCTTTTCCTTTTTTTCTTTCTATGCTTTACTTTGTTCAGTTTCCATTGCTGTGTTCACTTCTGGATCTCCTGCCTGCACACTGTCCAGTCAGTCCCGTCCAGTGTATCTTTCATTCCAAATATCGTGGTGTTCGTCTACAGAAGTTCCCTCCGGTTTTTATATCATCCATTTCTCTTCTTATCATGTTCATGTTGTCTCTACATTCTTGAGCATATGGAATACATTTATTTAAAAAAAGATTTTTTTTAATGCTTATTTATCTTTGAGAGAGAGAGAGACAGTGTGAGCAGGGGAGGGTCAGAGAGAGAGGGAGACACAGAATCTGAAACAGGCTCCAGGCTCTGAGCTGCCAGCACCGAGCCCGACACAGGGCTCGAACTTAGGAACCACGAGATCATGACCTGAGCCGAAGTCGGACGCTTAACCGACTGAGCCCCCCGGCGCCCCGCGGAGTGCGTTTACAACAGCTGCTGGAATGTCCTTGCTTTGCCAGTTCCATCATCTCTGTCCGTTCTAGGACTGTTTCTCTCAGTTCACTTCTCTTCTGCCTCTAAGTCATATTTTCCTGCTCTTTGCTTGCCTATTAATGGTTTATTGAATGCTAGTCACTGTAAGCTTTATTACTTTGTTGACTACTAGATTTTCTTGTATTCTTAGAGTTCTGAATTTTCTTCTGCCATGTCTCTCAGTTTCTTGGAATCCATTTAATCCTTTTGAAGTTGACTTTTAAACTTTGTCAGCAGGTCCAGCGTAGCACTAGGAAGTAATGCGGGGCCCTTGTGAGGACTCTGCCTCCTGCCTCATCATTACAAGGCCACCCCGCTCCGGCCTGTGGGACACGAACCTCCCAGCCTTGTGTCTCCCTCGGCTTTGTTGGCCTAAACGCTCAACGGTCCAGGACTCGGGGGCCGCCGTCGCAGTTCTGCAGAGCTCTCTTTCTGTGCGGCCTTCTTCTCGGGCATTCCGGCTGCTCCGGGTCACCCTCTTCTCAGCTCGATTGACCGTGCCAGGCCCGATTTGGAGTTCCCCTCCCTGAGCCTCAGCCTGGAAGCTGTGTCAGGGCAGGAAACTGGGCTGGGGCCTGGAGCAGGAGCGGCCACTTTGTTTGTTTCCCCCGGTCAGTAAAGTTTCGCTTCTGACGGTCCTGCCCCACCGGGCCCAACGTCAGAAGACAGTTCCGTTTCATATCTTCCGTCAGGTTTGCTAGTTGTTTATGGCAGGACAGCAGTTTACACAGCAGTTATTTCTTCATGGGCAGAGTGGAAGTCCCCAGTGGTTTTTAATGACTCTGTTGAGCAGAATTCTACCCACAGATCACGCTCCAGAATTACACATAGGGACTCTGTGAGCAGATCTTGCCAATGAGGAAGCAGAGAGGACTCTGGCCATTTCAGTGGAGAACTCTTTGTAAACCTCATGGGGTGTTTTTGTTTGTTTTTAATTTGATTTGTTCCCAAGCCAGTTCTCTTGGATAACTTTGTCCCAGTATCTGCCATCAAGTTCCTTCTCTTATCTTTCCTGAATTTTGGCGCTTACATAAACATTACCTGTGAGTCATTTGGCTCTAGCCTGGCTATTTTTACCTCTGTTTTTCTAAATTGTTCCCCACCCCTTTGAGATGAACACTGAGTACCTGGTGGCAAAGATAAATTTCGTGCATCCATTTGGAATTTGTGATTAAAACAAAGGAGTGTGTTCCTTGTTTTCAGAGAGGCAGTGTTAGTTCTGTGACTAGGGCTTCGTTTTTTTAAGGACCTTTGCTGCAAGCATCAGTAGAGCCAAAGACAGCACATGCAGGCCAGGAGCGCACGGCCACCTCTGGACATCTGGTCTGGCTGCGCCCACATTTGCCTTTGGGATGTGTGTCACACAGGATTTTCAGAGAAGGCTAGGAAAGCCCTGATGTGTTGTGAGAACCTACTAGCCCCACTGTAGGAGCTCATCGGGAAAGTGCTCCTGATGTTTGCTGTCCCCTCCTCCTTTCCACTCTGTGCTTTCCCCGTCACAAAGGATAGAGGGAGCAGTTGCCAGGAGCACGGAGCGGGATGCTGTCCTCCGAATCACACACCTAAGTCACGTGTTTACAACACGGCAGTTAAGGACACCAGACAGACCCGGATATGAATCCCAGCCCCGCGCCTCGTTAGCTGTGTAACCTCACACAGCCGGGTAACCGCTCTGAGCATGCACTTTCTCCTCATGAAACAGACATGATAAAAGGGCCGCCGCGAGGCTTGTGCTGAGGATTAAAGGGAGCAATGCAAGAAAGAATCCTGACGGAGCCATCAGTGTCTGTTATTAATAGGGTGACCACACGTTGTGGTGGCCCTAAGACGTAAATTGATCACTCTCAAAAGTATCCTGGTTTCAGCAGCCAATTAAATAGCCCCCCTAATTATGAGTTGTAAGTGTTAGCTATTCTCAGAATCTTCATTTTAATTCTATCAGTGTTAATTATTCTATTATTCATTTAGACGAGTTTTGAGTGCCACTTTGCGCTCTGGCTCTAGAGATTCAAAGATGATTAGATCCCCACTTTTGCCAGTTTAGCCAACTGTGGGCAGAGGGAGGGGGATGGGGATAGAGTGACAGTCTGTCACAGTGACGCACAGAGGATGGAACTTTTGGGGTTGAAGGAGGAGCTTACAGAATTGGCCAGGACGGAATGCTTTCTGCAAAATGTTGGGAAGGTGTGGGCCAGAGATGGACCGTGTGGGACAGCCCTCACGCACACAGGTGCATATGCAGGGACTTCCTTTGCAGCAGTACCTGGGGGAGAGAACATTTGTTGGAAGCAGCCACATGCTCATCAGTCGTAGGAAAGCTTAAGTAAGTTTGGGTCTGTTCTCCCACTGGCATCCTGTGCAGCCACAGGATAAATGGATTTGATCTGTTTGTGCTGCCAGAGAAAGAACTCTAAGATGTATTGTGAGATTTTAAGAAAGAAAATTGGAAACCCCTGTATTCATCCATTCTACAAATACTCATTCCGTGCCTGCCCTGTGCCAAGAACTGTCCTTGGTACTGGGGCTGCACGGTCCTCAAGACAGGAGGACAGTTAGAAGTAGGCAAACACAGGGTGACCTCGGGGTGAGAAGTGACAGGAAGGAGAGAAATCAGAGCCGTGTGATAGAGAGTGGCTGGGGGGGTGGGGGAGGCGTGGGAACAGACACATCATGCCTTCGGGGGATCAGGAATGTCTCAAACAGGTGGTGCCCCAGCTAAGACCTGTGCTGGGAGAAGGGCATCAGCCAAGGGAGGGCCTGGGGCAGGAATGCTGAGCAGGGCTAAGTGCCCCAGATGGACATGAGGGAACTGACGCCCTCCGGGAAGAGCAGGAAGTACAGCATGGCTGGGGCACAGGGGCAAGGACCCCGGGAAGGAGTTGGGGTTCTGTTATATGTGCAAAGGCAGGTCAGTGTTGGAGGCCTTTTAAAGATCCCTGTGCTGGTGGTATGTGCCGCATACATAATACAGCCCAGTTACTGGTTTTTAAAGATAGAGAAGCTCTATAGTGGCATAGAAAAGAACTGGCAATCTCTTGGGGCGCCTGGGTGGCTCAGTCAGTTAAGTGGCCGACTTCGGCTCAGATCATGATCTCACGGTTTGTGCGTTTGAGCCCCGCATTGGGCTCTGTGCTGACAGCTCAGAGCCTGGAGCCTGTTTCAAATTCTGTGTCTCCCTCTTTCTCTGACCCTCCCCTGCTCGCTCGCTCTCTCTCTCTCAGAAATAAAAAACATTAAAAAAAAATTTTTTTTTAAACTGACAGTCTCTATAGGGAAGTGTTAATAGTAGTTACCTCTAGGCAAGGGGATGTGCATGGAGATTCTCATTTTACTATATGCCTCTGAGTCTCAATCTTTTATAACAAAATATGTTTATTTTGAGGTAATTAATGAAGAAAACTGACTCTGGTTTGATCCAGACTTCAGGAAGTTCATCATAGTTTACCTACAGTACGGCACAGTACAGTGGAAGTCGAGCCACGAAACAACACCTTTCACTTTCTGCCTTTGGACTTGAATTTCTATTCATCACCATTCTTCATTATATTTAAAATAGTGGATTTAACTGAGACTAGAAATAGATTTCCCTCTTCCTTCCCTCCCTCCCTCTTTCTCCTTCCTTCCTTCCTTCCTTCCTTCCAGGAAGCTGACCTTTTTGCTGCACTGTTATCTACTTCCTTAAATGACTTTGCCTTCTAGAAGAAGTACACGTGCCAGGAATTCTTACAGGGCTTTTTTTTTTTTTTTTTTAATGTTTATTTTTGAGAGAGCGAGAGACAGAGCATGAGCAGGGGAGGGGCAAAGAGAGAGGGAGACACAGAATCTGAGCTGTTAGCACAGAGCCCTGATACGGGGCTCATACTCACAGAGCATGAGATCATGACCTGAGCCAAAGTTCATGCTCAACTGAGCCACCCAAGCACCCCAATGGCATTTTTTTAAATACCCAATCCTTTTATCTCTGTAAGTGAGCCTGTTTGCTCCCGGGTGTGGAGGGCAGCCGCAGGGGGTGAGGGTGGTCTGGGTGCTGGGGAAGCCTCCTTTGCTAAGGGAGCGCTCGTAGGGCAGACACTCGAGCTGCCCCTTGGGCATCTGCACCCTCTGCTGGCGCTGACTCTTCTTTCCCCAGAACTCGAGAGAGGCCCCAACCTCAGACTAGGGGTGGGGGCCGGGGTAGAGGTGGTGGCTTCACTCTTGCATCGGACAGAGGGCTCATTTTCATATGGTCCAAATTCAGCCTCCAGATGGGGTTTGTTTATCCCTATGGAGAAGTTGTTAATATTTGAGTTGGTTCCTGTCATTAAAAGCTGAGGGTTTCCCATAAGAAACAGGTCTCTGGCATTTCTCAAGAAGCCGGAAGGAAGACTGGCCAGCACTCAGGCCCCGCATCTGTCCACAGGGTTCCCTCGGACTTTGTAGGTGGCCTTGTGCCTTCTTCGCCCCTGTGCTGGTCACCCATTTTCGATTTTTATTTTTATTGCCTCGCCTCTGAAGATCCTGAGTTTCCAATCCCTGGCCTCGTGCGCCAGCCTGAACGAGGCAGCCAGACCCCTCCTGGCCGTGCTTGTCTCCTGTGCAGAGCTCTGAGGCAGGCCGCTCCCCCGGGGGGCAGGAGAGGGCCCTGGGGCTCTGGCAGCGGGCACTAGTGTCAGTCCCAAGGCAGCTCCCACATCCCACTGTCAGGCGGACCCCAGAGCCTTTGGCTTTCTCGGAGTTGTCATTTAATGTTGGGACTCAAGTGGGTGGTGATGACCTCTGTGGGTGGGACACCTACGTCGGGGGAAGGCCACTGGTGTCACAGCTCAAGCGTAGCTCAGGCTCCTCTGGGGTCGATCTTTACTTCAAGGTAAGAACTGCACAGTCTCAGCCTTGCCAGTGAGTTGATAACCCTTCTCGAAGCAGACTGCTGAAACAAAACCCCTTGGAAGCTCAGACGCTGGGAACTTGTACTGTTGGACTTCGATGCTAAGGATCAAGTCTGTAAAACCTGAAGTCTGTGCCTTTGTCTGTGATTGAGCCTCAGTTTTGTCATCTGGACATTGGGACCAACAGCACCCTCTCATGGAACCGTCAGGAGCTAGTGAGGACTGGCCACTTAACAGTGCCTGTCGCAGGACCGGGGCCGGACAGGTGTAAGCTGTGGAGTTCCTGACTCAGCTGCTGGTCTCTCCCCTTCTATTTCACGTTGCTTTGCCGTCCCTGTATTTTGTTGCAGCGTCAGGAAGGGTCAGCAGTCTGGAAGATCACCGGCAGGAGCTGGGCAAACAGCCGGAGGTTTTCTTGCGTGTGTGTCATCTAGCAGAGCGGTGGTTCAGGGCAGCTCTTGACCGGCAGGGTCTTCCCAGTGCCTTGATGAGCAAGGACAGCCATCGCCCGTCCTCTCCTTTCCCTGTCCTGTCTTGCCAGGTGTGCCTTGTGGCTGGAAGGTTCCTGCCCAGCCTCCTCCGTAGGAAAGAATGAAAGAGCAAAGGAATTTGCTCTTTCCCAAGAGGACGAGGAGGTAACTGGGCTCCGCCACGGCTGTCCCTCAGGCCAACGGCGCCTGGTGGGCCGCACAAGGGGGAGGCCTGCCTGTGTTTGGGGGCATTGTTTGGACCGCAGGCTGAGCCCCTGAAATGTCTGGGGCAGTTGTGTGATCACCCTTTTCCAAATGGAGAGTCAGCCGGTAATCCCCGTCTGTCTGCAGAGTGGCAGGAGTGAGTTAAAATTTTGCTTATAAATTTTGACTTAGAATTCATACATTTGGGCACCTTGTTTAATGACTTATATAAAAATTTCAGCTTCCTTACATGAAGATGAGAGCCCCTTTCTGCCACTGAGGCAGGGCAGCACTGAGAGGTAGCCCAGGCAGAGTACTTTGGGGTGGTTAGAGGCAATGGGCAAATGCAGAGATCAGTCCCGAATGAGCAGCAGCAAAAGGGGTGGACTGTGTCGTGAAGAGCTTTAAAGAAACGACACAGGGGCGCCTGGGGGCTCAGTCAGTTGAGCGTGCAACTTCGGCTCAGGTCATGATCTCACGGCTCATGGGTTCAAGCCCCGTGTCGGGCTCTGTGCTGACAGCTCAAAGCCTAGAAACTGCTTCCGATTCTGTCTCTGCCTCTCTCTCTGCCCCTCCCTGCTTGTGCTCTGCCTCTGTCAAAACTGAATAAATGATAAAAAAAATTTTAAAAAAAGACACATAACCTTTTATTGTCGCTCTTCTCTCATTATATTATAGGAGTAATTCCTGGTGATTATGGGAAAATTAGAAATTAAATACAAATCCACCCATTCTCCACATCCAGATTCTTATGCTCCCTTCCTGTCCCAAGGGTGGTTCACCTGCACCCCTTCTATCCATGGGTGATGCAGGCAGCTCACACCTGCTCAGCCCTGCTCCTGGGACTGGCACTGGACGCGGCTTATCCCCATTCCCCTCCGACAGCTCCATGAATGGGTGGTGTTAATCCCACTGTCCAGATGAAAAAACGGGTTTAGAGAGGTAGAAGTTTGGCCCAAGGTCACCCAGCCTTGGGAAGGGAGCTGCCAGAGACAGGGGCCCCTTAGCATTTCTTTGTAGCTTCTGGGAGGCCCCACGTATTCTGTTTTTTCCCTTTTGCTTATTCTGAAAACATGTAATCCTAGAGGGTCCAGTGACTTGTAGAAAAGTGTGATATTACTTGTGTCTCACATAGCAGGTGCTTTTCACCTCTCCTCAGTCTGTGCTCTGCCTCTTGGTCCCTCTCTAGGCATCATGGCCATCCTGTTCTCGGGCATCGTGATGTCCCACTATACGCACCATAACCTGTCCCCGGTCACCCAGATCCTCATGCAGCAAACCCTGCGGACCGTGGCCTTTCTGTGCGGTGAGTCCTGCCCCGGTGCGGTCCCGCGCGGCATGCCCCCTGCCCCGCCACACCCTGGTTCAGGAAGCCGTGGGTTTTCCCGCCCAGGAGAGGCAGCAGAATTCCTCAGGGCCAGATACTGCACTCCCTTATCTCTTGTTACCCTGGCTTTCAGATTCCATAATGTAAACCTAACTCCTCAGAGCTTTCTGGAGCATTTGATGCCTACAAATTTAAGACTGAAAATAACGAGACTCGTATGTTTGTAATGTTTTAAAGTGACATTCCCAAAAACGTGTTCCTTGGCGCTGGCATCGCTGAGGGTTAGGTGAGAGAGACTTCCCAGTCGGACAAGAGTCTGGAAAACCCTGGGGAAAATACAGTTCCAGCGTGTGAGCTGCGGGAGCATCGCAAGTTCCTGAGCGGGGGCTGGGGGTGTTGTCAGGGCTTTTCCCCAGCCCGCCCACAGGCCCCTTTTCCACTGAGCAGCTCGAAGGACATGACTCGGAAGCCTGTGTGCTGACGCGGTCACTGTCGGGTGGGGCCCCCGCTGGGAGGACTGTTTCTGCTATTGGGCATGAGCTCTGTTCCCCTACACTCCGTACCCGCTACCTCCTCCTGGGGGTATGGCCAGCGGCCAAGGCCACGTCCTCCCATGGTCCCTCCCTGCCAGGCTCTCTGGTATCGCCAGGCTCTGGTGTCGTCGCCAGCATCCGGCGGGGTTCACCTCGTCCTCAGGCACGGGTCCCACACAGTCATGGGCTCGGAGTCAGTGCCTGGCCGTGCAGAGGCTCCTTCCGCAGCCCAAGGGGCTCAGGTGCCCAGAGGTCAGATGACTCGCCCACAGGCTCATGGTTATGAATGATTCTCGAATCCAGGTCTGTCTCTTCCTGGTCCAGGGGGTTCTTTTTTCCACAACATCCCACTCACAAAGTCCTAGCGAAGGACGCTGAGCCTGAGTCTCACAATCAAAGATGTAGAAGCTAAACACCCAGCTATTTTGTACCCGTCAGGCTGGCATATGTTAAGTTTGCTAATTCCCACCTCCGCCATAGGTGTATGGGACGCGGGCCCCGTTGACAGGCGTGGGCACCGACGCCATCTTCTGTGGAGAATCATGACAGCATCAGGCTGGGTTTCAGAGCCATATGCTCTTTGACCCCACAATGCTCCCATCAGGAATTTAGCCTGGATATTTGTCATAGCTGGTAATGGCAGAAATAGAAACGGCTTAAGTGTCTGTTGGCGGAGGATTTGTTAAATCAGTCATGACATAGCGATATCGTGGAATGTTTGCTGCCAGGGAACAGCATAACAGATCTGAGTATGTTCTAAATGAGCTGATTTGGAAAGATCACAAAAATGTTTATTAGATTAGAAAAAAAATCCATGGAGAAGGATGTGAATACTATCCGGCTTCTGCACTTGTTTTAAAAAGATACACGTTTGAAGGAGGAAAAACATGGCTGAAATGTTTTAAAACCACCTCTCTGTTGTATGATGTTCAGCTGTTTTAAAATACAGTCTTTGTCTCCCTGATTATCAGACTGTTCTGGGGGACATCACAGGTTAAGCAGGGAGACTAGTGCTAGAAATTCATACTCTGCTTTTTCTTGGGAAATACAAGTACCTGCTTGTACAGAGAGTAGGCGTCAGACTCTTTCTGACTTGCAGGGTGAAGCCGAGAGTTGGGAATGCCCCCCTTCCCGCAGACCCTGCAGGTGTAAGCCGTCCTCCAAACCTTGTGGCGGCGTTAACTACGCGAAGTCAAGCATTCAGCTTTGTCCGCCCTGGCAAGGAAGTCAGCAGAGGGCCCTTTCCACACTGGTTATGTGGTGTCTGCAGTCATTTGCTCTGAATTTTTGCCACTCTGCTGCAGTCGTGATGCTCACTAATCAGTGCTCAACAGACAGACAGGTTCATATATTTGTCATCTTCCCCAGGGGCTGGGGGAGGGAGGGTATTTATCTGCAGGAGAGCTTGACAGTTGACCCGCTGCCAGGGGAACAAGCAGGGGTTGCGTGTGTGAGAGGGAAGGACCAGAGACTCCAAGCACATGGTCCACCAGGATGTCGGCTGTAGGATTTTCCAGAAACTAAGCAGAGCAGTTTGTTACAGTGGACCCTGACTCCCCGTGAAATGTTTGCTTGCTTAACAGTTTAGTACTATGTTAGAAGGAAATCGTTGGGGCTGAATAATCCATTCTTTGGTTTGTTTCAGAAACATGTGTGTTTGCATTTCTTGGCCTGTCCATTTTTAGTTTCCCTCACAAGTTTGAAATTTCCTTTGTCATCTGGTGCATAGTAAGTATTTTCCTTGTTTTTTATTTAATTACTTATTTGTAGATCAATAACCACATGTTCTGGATTCATTTATGTAACTGTTAACTGTTCAAGGTCAACAGCTACATAGACGCCCTTCTGTTTAAAGTTTCTTTTGTTAAAAAATCACAAACATACAATAACAGGAAAAGGGGTGGAATTAAGTGAATCAGTATCCCTGGGAATGAATTTTTCCTTCCTTTTAAATTGTAAATGGTCTTGAATGTTGTGGTCTTCTCTAAAAAGTACATGTGTATCTGTTTTCTCTGTTGGGTGGTAAAAGCAGATCTCAGAATTGAATACATAATTGATCATAACCATGTAAAAACATCATGCATAGAATCAAAAACCATGTTAAAAGATGTAGCTCAGTGTTCACAGTGGTTGTAGAATTGGGGATGATGTATTTTTCTTTTCTGCTTTTTCTGGATAATTTATAATGCATATATTTACTTCCTACTGTAATTTTCTCCCCGTGTCCATTTTTGAACGTGACCTTGGACACTTATAAAGTAAAGATTACCAGGCCCTTACCTCCCCAGAGGTTCGCCCAGAACAGTCGTCCTAGGCGATTCTTACCATTCAGAATGTTTGGGAAACTTATCAGTGGACTCGGGGGCAGCAGGAGGAGACAAATTAAAATATACCTTTAAAAAGGGAAAAGAAAAGTTTAATCATTCACAGTAGAATAAAATCTTTTGGGGAATGGAGTGGGGGAGAATAAATGTTTAGCATTTAAAACAAAGGTCCAGCTCCCTCTGGCGTCTGATGGAAGTGACATGAATGCCTTCTAACGCATGTGACCCGCTCCCGGGTCCGCCTTCCCTCAGGGTGAGCTCACCTCCCCCAGACCCGCCTGCTGACTCATACTGTAACCCCTTACTCAGTCTTTGTTGTCCTTTTAGATCCATTGTTAATTTAAGACCTGTGAGACCACACCTTATTGTTGCTCAGTTATCATAATCCATCTTCGGTCAGCTTTTATGACCAGTGCCACTTAACAGCCCAGCTATTAAGAGGCAGACTGTTTTTTAGCACTTTCACCTACTGTGTGCAAACCGGTGAGGCCTGCCTGTTTGGCATGGGGGAAACTGAGGCACAGAGAAGCCAAAGAACCGTAAGGAAACATGTTTCTCCTTGCAGTGCGGGTGTTTCCACCTTCCAGTTGGCAAGAGCTCGTTGCTGTTGTCACTTATCTGTCCTCCAAACTCATTTCAGGACAGAGAGAACAGCAAAAATCATTTACAGAAAGTATAGCAGTCTTTAGTGTGCTCACCAGGGGAAAGGGGTCAAACCTGAAACCCAAGTGTGGGCGTGAATGATCAGATTTCAGTGGGTGAAACGAGGACATGGCTCTCTCGGCCGGGGGCTTCAAGCAAAGGGAAAATGCAAAGGTGGTCCAGAGGGGGAGCTGCCCCCCCCCCCAACGCACACAGGCAGCCAGGCCCTGCCACTCCTGGTGGCGTCCCCGTGCTATTCAGACGGTCACCTTCTGCTCGTCTACTGGTCAAGGGCACAGGCTGTCGGGGCTGAACCAGGTTTGGGACATGGCTCCACAACTTCTTACCTGGGTCAGCTTGGACCAGTTCCTTACCCTCTCTCTGCCTCCACTTACTTGTGAAATGGAGACAGTAACACCTGCTTCATAAGAATATTGCAGGGCTCTAAACTGAACAAGACATAACGCATGTAAAATGCTTAGCACAGTGTCTGACATAGAAATGTTACATGATCAGGAGCCATTATTATTAACTCGACCATCCAAGGCACACAGTGCAAACCATACTCAGTGCTTGTTAAAAGAATAAACGTAGAGCCTACTGAAAGTACACGTGTATATTGTATATGTTATTTTACATTAGTTTGGTGAGAACCGAGATTAAAAAAGAACAAATTAATAGTAGTGCTAAGTATCCACTTAGATAAGATTTAGACCTTATCTAAAGTTGTATTTTGTTAAGACTGACTTTGGAGATGGTTAGGAACCAAAAGCCATGGCAAGCAACTGGCCAGGCAGGGTAGGGTGTGTGGGACCTCCTTCTAGAACACACCTACACACTCCTTTTGCTTGGAGAGCCGCATTTATGAGCAGCATTACGTAGGCCCTTCTCAATGATCCCTCCTTTCCCTGAGGAGTGGGGCCCCCATGGGAGGATGAGGATCACCTTGTCTGTCCCTCCAGAGCTGGCCCGTTGGGAATGATGAGCGCAGGCCCGTCCCCCGGCGGAGCCCCTTTGGAGGAGTGAGATGGCCCCTAAATTAATCTCCGGATACTTTGGCTCGGCCTCTTGGCATTTGGTTTTGCTCCGCTCTCATAGCTAAAGCTGGCTTCGATAGTGTGTTAGTCTTCTTCTCTTTCTGGCTACGGAAACATGACGTACAAAGTGCTGTCCTTCCCCAGGCTCCTAGAAACTAGCATCTACAGCAGCACGCCCCAGCTGCGTCCCTGCCTGGCACTGTCCTTCATGCCTTCCATGGCCCAGGGGAGGCTGTGTTTGTTAGGGGTGTGTCACAAAGTCTGTGTTAGCTGCAACAAGCTTCAGCTTGGAGGCCAGAGGTTTCTGAGACTTGGTTGGTTGTTATTCACAGGTACTTGTACTGTTTGGCAGAGCGGTGAACATTTTCCCTCTTTCCTACCTCCTGAATTTCTTCCGTGATCATAAAATCACGCCGAAGATGATGTTCATCATGTGGTTTAGTGGTAAGTCCCACGCTGAATGAACAGTGGAAGGCAAATGGGTCGTGTAGAGAGAGCATGTGGCTGTCTGGCAGGGCCCTTGGGAGATGCCTCATGAGGCAAAAGTTGCACACGGTCCTGCTTCCCAGGCGCCTGCCTGCTGTAGCCCGGGCCCCGGGAGGCCCTTGCGGGCAGGACCCCTCACAGCCTCAGTGGCCGAGACAGATGGGTGGACTCTGCTCCACGCGTGAGGAAGCTCAGGCTCAAGGGCAACAGGAGGCGGAGCCAGCATTTCCCGTCTTTCTGTCTCTGCTCCTCTGGGCAGGCAGAGCAGCCCGGGTGAGATGCAGGGCACAGCTCCCACCTCCCTGCGAGTAGTCAGGGGCTCATGATAAAACAGGTTCGTTTACTCTTTTTTGCAGTCCGGGCTAGGTCTGAATGTTTTATAACTCAGCCACTGAGTTTTGAGGGTTGATTGGAACATTTCAGTCGGTGCAAATTCCTCTACATTTTAAAGGATGGGAATGATTTCATCTTCAGTACCTAATGAACTGGGTCCTTAGGCATCTTTAGATTTATTTTTGAGCAATATATCCAGTTCTTTGTACTTTCTTGTTTAAATAATATAATTAAAATAGTCCATGTGGGTCAAGGTATAGCAACATGCTTTATAAGCTGTTTTCTGCTCAATGGCATTATCTATAATTTCTCGCAGATTTCTCTCCTCTTTCAAAAGGCCTTGTTTAAAGTATGTGTGTGTTTGTGAGAGAGCGAGGGAGGGAGGGAGGGACGTATGTATGTACGTATAGTGAGAGAAACTTTTTTCTCAATTTTTCTTGCCAATGAGAAAAAAAAATTTTAAATTATTTGATTTCAAACAACACCTGAGAGATGTAGCAGATATTTGACACAGGCGTGTGAGCCATTTGGGAGGGGGCGTGGTAAGAGGCCTCTGGGGCACGGGGCGTGCTGCTTAAACTTGAAGATTCTTCTCCTGGCCTGCAGAACCCCCTCCACACGCACCCCTCCAGCTGCTTCCCACCTCCCATCGCAGCCAGACCTCTTTAAGTGGGCTGCCCTCGCCTGTTTCTCCACTCCCTCACCTCCTGTTCCTGGGGCTGAACTTGGCCTTGCCCAGGTCACCAGCGACCTTCTGCAGCCAGACCTGGTGGGCACTGGGCAGCCCTGGTCCAGCCCAGCTCGATGGCTGTAAGCTGCCTTCTTCCCGCCGACCTTTCCCGGACCTCCAGGCCGTGCTCCTGGTTGCCCTCCTTTCCCTTTGGGGCCTCCGCAGGCTCCCTGTCCTTTATCGGCCCCTCAGTGTCGGCTTCCTCAGGACTCAGCCGCAGACCTGCTGCCGCTCCTGTGTCCTCAGAAGCTCGCTCATCCAGCGGCGCTCCCATTCTCCCAGAGCCTTTTGCTCTTAGAGCCTGACTCCTGCATCTGAAGCCTCCTTTGATGCCACAGAGACGCTGCGATCTCGTTGCCTAGGACTGAATTTACCCTCCTGCCCGGCCCACTTCTTTTCCAGAATCCCCCTTCCACGGAAAACAGCGTATATTACAACACACGTGTGGCTAACTCAGTGTTTGCTGTGTCAGGCCACCACCTTGCAGCCCGGGTTTTAGTCCCGTGTGCCAGGTTGAGAGGTTGAGTTGAGTCCCTCGCTTCAGCCCGAGAAGCCTGGGGGAAAGCAAGGCGTTAGGGGGTAAACCAGAAGCTACACCCCAGGCCTGTGCCTAGACCACTCGTACGACACGCCACCATCGTCCGTGCCCTTCCCTTCGTGGGCCAGCCCACCTCCCGCCCATCCCTGTGGCCTGTTGCTTCCACCCTGCGTGTCTCCCATAATTCCGTGCCCCTGCTGTGTCCCTGTCCTGGGTCTACACTGCTCCTGTGTCCCCGTCCTGGGTCTACACTGCTCCTGTGTCCCCGTCCTTGGTCTACACTGCTCCTGTGGTCAGACCCCCATTGTGCTGTCCTGCTCCAGCCTCCGAGTCCGGGCCGGACCCTCCGCGGTGTGCCCCCGCCCGTTCCCCCTTCTTCTGGCACTCACCGCCTCACAGGTCCTTGTCTGAGGTCCCCCCTCCCTGGGACCGCCCCTCCGTGTGCACCAGGCCGGCCAGCAGCCCTGCGGGGCCACACCGGGAAGGAAGGAGGGAAGAGATTCATGATGCGGTTCCCAGCGGCCCCTGGCCAGCAGCCTGGAGCCTGTCAGGAGTTGTGCAAGGGCCGCATCTTCAGAAACCAGGGGCCGCAGGCCACGTTGCCTTCGTGTGGCCCCGGGGGGACACTTCTTTCTCAGTCTCGGTTCTGCATCTGTAAGAGCAGGACCAGCTTTACTGGTGCTTTTGTGAAGGTCCAGCGAGATTGTGCGCACAGAGCCCTTAGCCCGGGGTCTGGAACACACACACGGAATGTGAGCGCTGGGCTGAATGAATCCTCAAGCACACGCACCGGTGCTTCGTGGCCTGGACAGGTCACCTCCTGGGAGCTGCGTGGGAGCTGTGGAGGGGGAGAGGGATGCACTCAGCCCTGCTTCTCTGCAGCCTGCTTTTCTCACACCCCCGAGTCTCACGGGAGGAGCTCGCACTCGGCAGTGGGGTGTGTTAGAATGTTCGACCGGCATGACACGGCCGTGTGCGGATCCCCAGAGCACCCGGTCAGTGACGTGGCTCCCTCCCCCCTGTGCGCCTCCACTGACCCCCTGCCCTGCCCGCAGGCCTGCGGGGCGCCATCCCCTACGCGCTGAGCCTGCACCTGGACCTGGAGCCCATGGAGAAGCGGCAGCTCATCGGCACCACCACCATCATCATCGTGCTCTTCACCATCCTGCTGCTGGGCGGCAGCACCATGCCCCTCATCCGCCTCATGGACATCGAGGACGCCAAGGCGCGCCGCAGGAACAAGAAGGACGTCAACCTCAGCAAGACGGAGAAGATGGTGGGTGCCGCGTGGGCCCGGGCTGGGCGCAGGGCCTTGGTCTCTGCCGCAGCTGGGAAATGGGGAAATGAGACCCGAGTTGAGGTTCTCAGCACCTACACGCACACATGCACACACACACGCAGAACCAGAATTCTGAGGGTGACCCTGGGGGCCCAGTGTTTTGTGGATTCACAAGCCCTCCCCGGGATTCTGATGCACCCGGAGGTTGAGAACCACCAGCCGCTGCTCAGCAGCACCCACGTGCCCGTCCCGCCCTGGCCCTCCCACCGCCCCGCCTGCCCAGTGGCACAGCAGGTGCTACATTCACACTCTGGTGGCCTCGGGTCACCCCTGCGGAGGGTGGGTCTCTCGGGGCCTGGGGCAGTGCTGACCCCCATCCACTGAGCCTGAGCCCCCCCCACACACACACACAGCGGCCCTGCCGCGGCACTCGCTCTCACTGCCCTCCAGCTCCCACCGGCTCGTTCCCCGCCCCCCATGCGGGTGGACCCGGAGCCACCCGCCCAGAGCTGAACCACAGCGAGGGCAGCCGCAGGCAGAAATGATAAAAGAGCCTCCCTTGTTCCACGTTCCGGGAATGAAATAACCTAGAATGGCACTTCCCGGTCCTGCCTGCACATTAGAACCAACCTGGGAAGCTTGCAAACCCCAGCCCACAAATAAATTCTGATTCACTCATAATTCTGGCTTATCCCTGGAGATCCATCGTGTTTTTACAAACCTTGCCCCCTCCCTGTGGGCTCCCAGGAGGCGCTTTGCCGCCCAGACACCCCGCAGTGATGTGAAAGCACAGGTAGGGCCGGGGACACTGGTGGCCAGAAGCGAAGGGCTGCTGGGTGGGCTGAGTGGTGTGGGCGCCCCCCGGAAGAAGCCAGCTGATGACCCCAGACTCCCGCCCCTCCCCCCGCAGGGCAACGCCATCGAGTCGGAGCACCTGTCCGAGCTCACGGAGGAGGAGTATGAAGCCCACTACATCAGGCGGCAGGACCTCAAAGGCTTCGTGTGGCTGGACGCCAAGTACCTGAACCCCTTCTTCACGCGGCGGCTGACCCAGGAGGTGGGACACTGGCCCGCGGCTGAGGCTCCCTCGCCTTCCTCCCTCAGGACCCGCGGTGGCCAGGAGTGGGTGGGCGGGGGGCCGGCCGGGCCAGCTCCCCCTGCGCGGCCCTCTCCCCAGCCCGCCCAGCATCTGCTGTTCTCCTTCCTGCCGTTTGTAGCGCTCGTATAATAACAGACTTGTTAACACAGTTTGGTTTTCCTGGAGGATCGACTCAGGACATCGATGGGCTACTGAATCCGAGCTGAAAATCTCAAACATGCCAGGGCCTCAGACATTGGCTTGGGGCTCTTGTTCCATCCCCCTGGGCACGGCTGTCCTCTGGGTGACAGTGAGTGGCACAGTCTCACGGGGACCAGTTGGACCTGCTTTGCTGGAACTGCCATCCGGCCCCACTGTGTTTCTGAGCCATTTTCCCTCCCTAGCGGTCGTGCTCGCCGTCGGCACGTGAGCGCCTGCCAATCCAGGGGTTGTGCCAGGTGGTCATCATGTAGCTTCGTTTCATCCTCCCGACATCTTGTGTCATGGCTGCAGCTGCTCTTGGTCTGGACAGCTGGGGAGACTGAGGCCTAGAGAGGTGAAGTAGCCGCCCGAGGTCACACAGCCAGTACGTGGCAGAGGTGGAAGCAGAGCCCAAGTGTGTCTGACTCCAGAAGCCACGTGTTTTAACGTCACACCACCCTCCCTCCCACCGCCACTTCTGGGTGACACCCTGTTATCTTACCCTCCAGAGAAAAATCCCAGCTTGAGTTAGTCGGTTAAGACTTTGGAATTGCCCATGGCCATGTACCCTGCCTCCCATCTCTCCTACACCCCCTGTGAGGTCCAGAGCAAGCTCCCCGCCCCCTTCCTCAGCCCTAACCCTGACCTGACCTTGACTGACGAGGGCTTGGTTGTGTCTTCTGCCCCAGGACCTCCACCATGGGCGCATCCAGATGAAAACTCTCACCAACAAGTGGTACGAGGAGGTGCGCCAGGGCCCCTCCGGCTCCGAGGACGACGAGCAGGAGCTGCTGTGACCAAGCAGGGCCCCCCACGGCTCCCGGGACAGACACTCCGCGGGGGCCCCCGGCGCCGCTTGCACTGGGCAGCCCCCTCGGGGTAGATGGAAGCAGGCCACATGAAGCAGAGGCCACGGTCCTCTTAAACCCGGCATCCCCGGCCCTCGGAGCCAGCTGTCCGCTTCTGAAACCAGCCATCTCCCCGGGCCACACTGAGCCGGACCTCTGCCCCTGATGTTGCTCCTGAGCCCGCAGATCGGAGGGGCCGCCTGTCCAGGTAAATTCTCCTGCTTCCGCAGCCAGCGCGACTCGTCATCCGCTGAGCTGTGGTGCGTGCGGAGACGGGCGGCGCCGTGAGGCCCGGCTGTGCCGGGGGCGGCCAGGGGAGCACTGGCGCGCGGCTTCTGCCTTCCCGCCACGGCCTTCGTCCCGGGAGCACCTGCTGAGGCCGGGACGGGGGTCTGTTCCAGCAGGCCGAGGAGCCTGCCACGCCCCGTTGGTCACCGAGGTGCCTCTGGCCTCAGCAGCGGCAATTCTGACTGAAGTGGTGGGCTCCGAAATCTGGAAAATGTCATGCTGCCCTTGGTGATGTTGCTCACACTCCTTGAGAAAAAAACCGAGTGAAAACCCTCTTTACCTCTGACTGGCACCTCGCAGGCTGTCTCCCTGGGTGGCAGGCAGCGACTGGCCTTCTCTGGGAATATTGTGAATGTTTACACTGGTACCGGGCAGGGGGCACACGGGCCCTTCTCTAAAGCCCCATTAAAGCTGCAGCCGTGGGTTTTGGGGGTGAGGGAGCCTATCTTGTGGGGTCAGAGCGCCCTCTGGAGGGAGAAGCCGGAGGTATAGGGCTTACGCGTGCCAGCATTGCCAGCTTCTAACTCCGTTTAAACTCATGCACTTTTGCAAAGCAGTGAGAACCTAGCAATGGCCTCCCTCCCTCGAGGGACCTTATTGGTCCATAGGCCCCACTGCCTGGGCCCCGTGCCGGCCGCCCGCTGTGTACCTGCTACCACCTTGCTGCCCTCTCCCGGCCCCGTACTAGCGTAGGTTTCAGCTGGCCGGAGAACAGGAGCAGGGCCACTCGCTCACGCGCTCACCCCGCCCTGGCCGGGTCCCGGGTCCCGGGTCCCGGGCCCAGCGGAGGGAGCCACCCGTCACGCTCAGATGAAGTGGAGTCACTGACTTGCGCCTCGCTCCTCACCCGCCCTCCACGAGCCTCACAGCTGCTAGGCTTCGCTCACCTGTGGGCCGGTGGCACATCCCCCCTGTGGCTCCGGGTCCCTGCCCCGGGACTGGGCACCCACTGGGCTCGTTTAATTCCTCACGTGCGGTCGGTCCTTGGTCCTCCGTGGGGACACCGTGGGCCGGCACAGACCCTGGGCTGGCAGCACGTATGTGTGCGTCCCTGCTGCCTGCTCTGGAAGGACTGACCTCGCCGGGACTCTGCTGCCCAGCCCGCCAGGCCAGGCCCCTGCCTGAGCCCCTCCCCCTCCCCGGAAGAACGGGGCCTGTCGGGCTGGAAGCACAGGGTTTCCTTTTTATGCATGGAAAGTAAATCTGTACTTGATAGGGTTAAAATACGGTCATTTCTCTTTTTGTAACCTCCCACTTTAACCCCGCAACTTAAGCCAAACACAAGTATTTTACTCCACCTCATACCTTCACTGGAGGAGAAACACCATGCACAGTTCTGGTCTCTGTCATTTCCTACTTTTAGTGGAAGAGTCAGAGAAGAGGTCAACGAGGGAAGGGACCTTGTCCACCCCTGGGGGGAGCTGGGCAGGGATCCACGACTAGAGTGTTCTCTCGTTCCCCGGCCCGTAAGTGGTCTGCCTTCTTTCTTGAAGTTCATGGTCCGATCTCAGAAGTGTAACTTGCATTGCAAACTCCATAGTTTACCAGAAAATTTAGTGGGAAGGGAGCTGTGAGTTCATAGACCATAGCAGCGAAAACACGATCTTCTCAATTCAGACCTCCCCTTGTCACCAGGTCCCGTCTGGCCTCCCACTTTTAGCAGAGACCTGAAAATGACACTGAAGTAGAGAAGGGTCCCCAGGGTGGAAGGTCCCCAGGGCTTCGCTCAGTGGGCATGGGGCACCTTTCCTGGCAGGTGCCAGCACCAGCTTGGGTCTCCCGTGCTCCTCGTCTGCCCCCTGCTGGCCAAGGGAGGTTTGGCAGGCCGGAGAGCATTCCCAGGACAGGCGAGCCCTGCGGACCTCAGGTCTGTCTTCGCCTTTGTCACAGGCAAAGCTCATGAAGATGGATTTTCCTGATGGGTTTTTACATTTATTTATTTTTGAGAGACAGAGTGAGACAGCGTATGCAGGGGAGGGACTCTGGTAAATTTTTAAAAGTGCCTGAGAATCAGAAATTTGCTGCTGTCTACCTTTTGCATACCTAATAATTCTATTTGGGGCAGGAAACGCCTAGTCGATTAAAAAATATCCAGCATAACTGCAATTTCCCATGAATTTATTTCCTTCTAGGTCTAGGCAATGGGTCAGGAAAGCCACAGCACATAAACAAGGTCATACTTTAGGGTGAGGTGAAGGCAGGGAGGGCCTCTGGGGAGGCTGGCAGTTAGCTAGGTAGCCAGTGAACTCTGGAGACGTGCTTGGCCTGGGGAGCCGTGTGGCAGCAAGCCCCACCCCCAAGGCGCCCTCCTCCACAGCAGGCCTAGCAATTTTGAACTCTTGGAACAAATCGCATGGCCTGTGGTGTAGGACCCCTGGGTACAACCATACCCTGTGCTATGGGTGTTACAGGGAAAGGAGCTGGCTTGTCCAAGGTCCCCAGAGGTCAAGTTTGGGGCCAGGCTAAGCCAGGGCCAGGCAGAAGGAAACTGGCTCAGTTCCACAGTCTGGTGCTCACTCAGCCTAGCAGCAGGACCACACACCCCCCGCACCCGGGCCGGCTGCCTCTCCTCACAGTGGAAATGCTGGCCGGGGCCTGGCCCACATTGGCGGTGGCCCCAGAGCAGTGCCCTGTTCCGCCTAGGGAGGCCCTGGTTTGCCTGCAGATTCCTTTGTGTGCAAAGGAATGTGGACAGATCGGTGCGTGGGGTCCTCCTCTCCTTGAACCTATGTCAGAGCAGTAAGACTCAGCCCCCTGGGGTCTCAGTTCCACATTCCCAGAGAGGCCTGCATATTTGGCAGAGTCCTCGGCGGGGTGGCCGCAGCTGGGATCCCACTTCTGCTTTGGCAGGGAGACTGACGGCGGGGCAGGGTGGTGGCCGGCTTCTCCTCAGCCAGGTCTTGGATGTCACAGGTGCAGGCCTTACAGCTGGTCCCTGATTCAGGTGCAAGGAAGCAGCAGCAGCAGTGATCTGCCGTTAATTAGAACTTGAAATGCAAAAGAGAGAAAAGGCACCCTGGTCCCCCACTCCCTCCAGAAGGTGCACCCCTGTTTCTCCTGCTGGTGGATGTGTAGGAAACCAAATCGAAACTGTTCCCGAAACAGCAGCCAGAATCACTGAGAAGCTGCTGTACCAGGAACCTGTCTCCAAGGCCCTGGGCGGTGTGTTTGAAATGAAAACACCCCTGTGTGAGGAAAGACTTGAACAGAGCCAAGTGGCCACACTCCCTTCCATTTAGGTTCCTGCTACTTCTCACGCAAATGGAGTCAGACATTCGGGAACTTCTGTTGCTCTTGGCCACGTGACAAAAGAAGGAAGACTTTACAGTTTCCCCCGGGCCTGCCCATCCCAGGGCCCACCCCATTTTTTCACTCTTTCCCACCCGATTTTTTCACTCTCCCACCCCAGCCAACATGGTCCCGTAGGGGAAAAAAATACTTGGCCTTTCTCCCCAGTGAGCCGGCCTCCCAGGCTGCTCCATGCAGAAGGGCGCGCCGACTTCGGGGTGAGGGCACCACGTGCCTGCGGGAGCCCAGGCCGTGGGACTGGCCGGGCAACGTGCAGATGGGTGCTCGCAAGGGAAAGGTCACCCGTCACCTCCGTGGGCCCGTGTTCCCAGGAGCCTGTCAGCCATGTGGAAGAGCCACATGAGCACGTTCTTGGCGCTCCCTTCTCGAAGCCCCAGCCCTGCTCTAAGGAACCCCCACTTCAAGCCCGGGAAGGCCTGCCACTCGCTTCAGGGCCTCGAGGTTAGGCTGGCCCAAGGCCTTAGTTAGTTAATGTTTTTTCCAGTACAGCCTGGGCCAAGAAGCTTGAGTGGTTCTCAAGGTTAATCCGAATTTTGAATTCTTTTGAGTAACTTTCTTTGTAAAAACGAAGGAATCTTTGAAGTACCACTTTTTTATTTGTTCTGACACCTTTGGGAAGGTCAGGCTCATTCTTGGCCCGATGCCATGTAAGTGGTAAGAGATGCCTGTTGGGTCCTGGGTCCTGAGAAAGGGTTTGCTTTCTTCTTGATGGAGCTTCAGGTAGGGGAGGGAAGGCAGGTCAGAGATGGGGGTGCCTGCCGCTGCCGTGCCGGCGCCCCTGCTTCATCTCACTGGACTCGTTAAAAAATTCAGAAATGGATGCAAGACACTCATGTTTCTGGATACGTATATAGGAATAAAAATGCTGCTGAATCAGAGCCAGTTTCTGTGCTTGTGTTCAGGTGGCTTCACAAATACACGGACTCAGCCGGGTCACCTGGGTCACTGTCACCAAACTCCGGGGCCGGCAGCAGGTGTGCTACCCGTGCAGGGAGGTAGCCTTTGCATCAGGCAGTCCGGGCCTGATTCCTGTCCCAGGCCCCCTGGCTGCCTCTCCCCACGGGTGCCAGGGGTCCGTCCTGCCCCGGGCTCCCCTGGCTGCTGGCCTCCCGCTGCCCTGGGATAGCAGATCGGCCCCCGCAGGCCTGTGTCAGGCTGTGAAGCCAGGAACGCGCGGGTCCGTGCCCCAGGTTCTGGGTGCACACGGCTGCAGGAGGCTCTGCTGGAAGGTGGGGGCATTATCTGTGGGAAGCCGGAAGCTTCCGTTTATTCTTACCCCTCACACTTCCGAAAGGCATCCGAAGCTGCTTATGGGAACAGGCGCAGGCAAAACACGCGGACTAGCGGACATAGGGAGGACAGCCTGTCCTGACCCCAGGCGTGGGCCTCCTGGCGGGGAGGCGAGCACTGGACCTTGGTTCCTTCCAGCCGTGCAGTTCGCCCCCTTTCCCGCGCCCCCCACCTGCAGCCAAAGAAGGAGGTGGGAGGATGAATCACACCTGGGGCCCTACCTGAGCCCGGGGCCGCAGCTGAACCAGGGGCCCAGACGCCTGCGGGGTCCAGGCAGCGGGGGAGGGGGGGGGAGCAAGGGCCCGTGCGAGGCACAAACGGCCTTCCTTCATCGGCCCCCTTTTCCACTTTTGATAGAGACCTGGGTTCAGTTAAAGATTTCTCTACATAATAAAACTTTGTGTGATGACAGGTGGCCCTGGAATGATAATGACTGGGACCCTGGCAGAATCTTCTCGGGCACAGCTGGCTGCACGGGAGGCTGGGCACTGGATCTGTGCCAAGCAGAGTGTCTGCTTGGACAAGAGCATCCTGGTGGCAAGAGGAGAAAGGAGCCCAAGCGGCGCCTGCCACTGGGGGACTGGTGTTAGTTCGTTCACATGTCAGCCCTCTCCTCACCACTAGGGGGAGCACTCGGGATGGAGGGCAGCAAGCCAGGAAGTAGTTTCCTTAGAGGCAGAAAACGTTGGGCGAGGGCCTTACGCAACAGTGAGGGCTCCATAACCCCAAATGTGTCACTTGCAGCAGAAATAATCTTAACTGGTAACAAGTTCATCAAGGGAGACAAGCAGATTCCAAAGCCATAATATATCATTAGTCTTGAAAAATTAAATAAATGGGGTCTATACAGAGGGAAAAAATCTGGAAGGACCAGTGCCCAGTTTTTACTTTGGTTCTCTCTGAATAGAAGGAACCATGGGTTACTTAAAAAATCATATTGTTTATATATTTTCTGTCTTTCGTAAGGCACAGTTGTTCAGTACTAAAGAGCACGCAGCACACCATCTTCACGTTCCACAATGTGAGTACAAATGAAAGCACACTTAAGGAGCAGTGCAGTAAGTGGACAGATTTGATGTGAACAGAGCACTAGGGAAACAGGAAATCACTGTCTTCTGGTGAGAGTCCAGAACGGAAGAGTCACTTTGAAGAGCGTCCGGCAATGCCTGGTAAACTTAAAGTCACCTGTGACCCTGCAACCCAGCAGCTCCCTCCCAGGTCCGTGCCCGGAGAGCAAGCAGGAGCAGACCACTGCCCGAAGACCAGGCCCAGCCCGCCTCCTGCTGCACTACCAGAGAGTGAAGAATGGTTCTTAACATCTTCAAGTGGCTGAAAAAAATTTCACAAGAATATTTCATGACATGAAAATGATAGGAAATCAAATTTCAATGCCCATAAATAAAACTTTGTTTGAATATTTTAGTTAAAAATCCGGGGTGGGGGGCGCCTGGGTAGCTCAGTTGGTTGGGCATCTGCCTTCGGCTCAGGTCATGATCTCGCAGTTTGTGGTTTGAGCCCCACATCAGTGTGCTGACAGCTCAGAGCCTGGAGCCTCGTTTGGATTCTGTGTGTGTGTGTGTGTTTCTCTCTCTCTCTGCCCTGCCCCCAACTTGCGTGCTCTCTTGCTCTCTCAAAAATAAACATAAAAAAAATTTCATGGGGACACCTGGGTGGCTCAGTCCATTAAACATCTGATGTCGGCTCAGGTCATGATCTCATTCATGGGTTTGAGCCCCACGTCGGGCTCTGCACTGACAGCTCAGAGCCTAGAGCCTGCTTCAGATTCTGTGTTTTCCTCTCTCTCTGACCCTCCCCTGCTCATGCTGTCTCTCTCTCTCAGAAATAAATAAAAACATTTAAAGAATGTAAGTTCTGCTCATTAAAAAGACCGAGAAGCACTGACTAGCCTGGTGGCAGTGAGCACCCCTAACTCCCAGACCGTGGTCTCCAAATGTCACTTCACAGTGAAAGGACCCATCTGCAGAAACATGACCCCAGGACCTGGGTAGGAGACGTGCAAGATGAGCGTGGGCACCCAGTCCTACCAGAGAGTGGAAGCAATCAAAGATTTCAGGGTCAAGTGAAAACAACTCTGGAAGGACCGGAAAAGGTGCCTACCAGCGAAACACAGGAATTTGAGCATCGATAGCAATAATGTAAAGGACTGAAATATTTAAAATATACTGAAATCAGTGAGTTCATGATACTTTAAAAAAAAATTAGCCACTGTTGGGCAATTCTAAGGCATCGGCTCATTAAGTAAAAATAAAGGCAGAGAGGGGCAGTAGGCTGGCCCGTGACTTGACTTTTTGATCTCAGGGTTGTCACTTCAAGCTCCATGCTGGGCCTAGAGCTTCCAAAAAAAATAATAATAAAGGCAAATAATAATCATGTATCTCGCTTAAACTATATATTACTGGTAGTCAAATGGTAACTGAAGGAAGTTTCTTTTTCTTTTAAAAAAATAGGGGCACCTGGGTGGCTTAGTCGGTTAAGCGTCTGACTTTCGCTCAGGTCATGATCTCGCGGTTCGTGGGTTCGAGCCCCGCGTCCAGCTCTGTGCTGACTGCCAGCTCAGAGCCTGGAGCCTGTTTCAGAGTCTGTGACCCCCTCTCTCTCTGACCCTCCCCTGCTCACGCTGTCTCTCTCCTAGAAAAAAAAATAATTAAAAAAATAATTATGAATTTACAGGAAGTTGCAAAACAGTAATACAAAAAGGTCCCAGTGCCCTGGGGCCAGTTTCCTCAGTGGCGACCTCTTGCACAACCCCAGAACTATCACAACCAGAAAACTAACATTGGTGCAAGCTGCAGACCTTGTTCACATTGTGCCAGTTTTACACATGCCAGTGTGAGTGTGTGTGTATTCAGTTCTATACAATTTTACCACATATGTAGATTCACACCATTACAAAGAAGTTTCTTTTTATAGAAGTATTCCAGTTTCGAGACAAAGAAGGAATGCTAGAATTGGAATATCTACATTTTGCAACCTCCAATGAAATGACTGGTCTGAGCACTAAATGATAGTCCTAATGGCTGTTACTCTCCCAAAGGGAGAGAATTCAACCACATGTGCCTCCTGATGAAAGAATACAACATCTCCCAAAAGCAAACCAAATCTGAGCCTCAAAAGCCAACCACCATGTGACATGCCACATTAATAGAATGACGGACAGAAACTTCATGGTCACCCCAATTGATGCAGGAAAAAAGCATTTAACAAAATTCAAAACACTTTCATGATAAAAATAATCAACAAATGGGGTGCCTGGGTGGCTCAGTCGGTTAAGCGTCTGACTTTGGCTCAGGTCATGATCTCGCGGTTCATGGGTTCAAGCCCTGAGTCGGGCTCTGTGCTGACAGCTCAGAGCCTGGAGCCTGACTTTGGATTCTGTGTCTCCTTCTCTCCCTCTCAATCTGACCCTCCCCTGCTCATGCTGTCTCTCTCTCAGAAATAAATAAAACATAAAAAAAAAATTTTTTTTTGTTTAAATACTCAACAAAGTAGGAAGAGTAAGAACTTACCTCGACATAATAAAGGCTACATATGAAAACCTATGTGTCTGGGTCGCCTGGGTGGCTCAGTTAAGCTTCCAACTCCAGCTCAGGTCATAATCTCACGGTTTGTGGGTTCGAGTCCCACACTGGGCTCTGTGCTAACTGCTCAGAGCCTGGAGCCTACTTCGGATTCTGTGTCTCCCTCTCTCTTGGCCCCTCCCCCGCTCACACTCTGTCTCTCTCAAAAATAAACATTAAAAAAAGAAAAGAAAATCTATGTGTCACAGTGAACATCATACTCAATGGTAAAAGACTGAAAGTGTTTCCTCGAATATCAGAACAAGGCAAGGATGCCTAACTCTTGCCACTTGAATTCAACACAGTACTGGAAGTCAGCCAGAGCAATTAGGTAAGAAAAAGAAATAAAAGGCATCCCAATTGGAAAGGAAGAAGTAAAACTGTATCTGTTCTCAGATAACAAGATCTTATATGTAGAAAACCCTAAAGATTTCACACACACACACACACACACACAAAGCCTGTTAGAATAAATGAATTCAACCAAGTTGCAGGATACAAAACTGGCACATTAAAAAAAAAAAAATCAGTTGCCTTCCATATATACACAAACAATGAGCAATCTGAAAAGGAAGTTATAAAAACAATCTTACTCACCGTAGCATCACACAGAATAAAATCTAGGAATAAACTCAACCAAGGAAGCAAAAGACTTGTACCCTGAAAACTATAAAACATTTACTGGAAGAAGTTAAAGAAGACACAAATAAATGGAAAGACATCTTGTGTTCAGGGGTTGAAAGTCTTAATATTATAACAACGTCCATGGTACCCAAAGCAATCTACTTGTTCCATGCAATTCCTGTCGAAATCCCAATGGCGTTTTTGCAGAAATAGAAAAAATGGTCCTAAAATTTCTATTGGATCTCAAGGGGGGACCCTGAGTAGTTGAAATAATCTTCCCGATTTCACACATTTCCCGATTTCAAAACATTATATACAATGCCACAGTAATCAAAATACTGTAGAACTGGCATAAAGATAGACTTAGAGGCCAATGGAACAGAATAGAGCCCAGAAATTAACCCTCGCATCTGTGATCAAATGAGCTTCAACAAGGGTGCCCAGAACACACAGCAGGGTGAGGGCAGTCTCAGCAATTGGTGGGGGGAGGGGGACTGGATATCCAAATGCAGAAGACTGAAGTTAGACCCTTACCTTATGCCACATATAAAACTTAACTCTAAATGGATTAAGGGCCTAAGATCTAAAACTATAAAACTCCTAGAAGAAAACACAGCTAAGAGTTTAGTGACAGTGGATCTGGCAATGATTCCCCGGATCAAAGCACAGGTAACAGAAGCACAAGGAGACAAATGGGACCCCAGCAAAGGAAGACGTGCTTCAGAGGGAAGCCATCTCTGCCACCCAGGCGCCTTCACCCTCACTTCCCACCCCTGCACCTGATCAGCCTCAGTAAGGGGCTCCCGAAAGTCAGCCAGCTGAAGGCTGCCCCAGAGAGCCCTAAACGAGATTGTCCAGGCACCGGGACTTCTCAGAAACAAGCCGTTCTCCTGTGACTGAATTTCAGTTTCTCTTTCCCTCTTGGCACAGGTCCAGAGAAGGGACTGGCCGCACCGCCCTTTCCCTGCTGCTCCGCAGGCGCACCCACCCCCACGTGCTCACCTGCTTCAGCGGCTGGCCCCGCCTACCTAGGCCTGCTGGGCCTCAGTGGAGATTCCGATTTCCATTTGCCTTTTCGCTTTACAAACATCAGCTGGAATTGCCCAGCGAGCCTGGCTAAAAGCAGAGCCATGCGGCCAGGGAAGCAGTTGCGACTCGGCCATGGCTCCAGCTCGGCTTGTGCTACTGGTGACCACGGTGTTTGGCCTGACTGGGGCAGGCCCTGTCCCCGCTTCCGGGCCCACCTCAACCAAGAGGGGCTGCCACGTGGGCAAGTTCCAATCTCTGTCGCCGAGGGAGCTAGAAGCCTTCAAGGCGGCCAAGGACGCCTTGGAAGAGTCACTCTCACTGAAGAACTGGACCTGTGCCTCTCGCCTCTTCCCTAGGACCAGGGACCTGATGCGACTGCAGGCCTGGGAGCGCCCTGCCGCCTTGGAGGCTGAGCTAGACTTGACGCTGAAGGTCCTGGAGAACATGACCGACTCTTCCCTGGGGGGCGTCCTGGACCAGCCCCTGCGTGTGCTGCGCCACGTCCACTCCGAGCTCCAGGCTTGTGTCCTGGCTCAGCCCACAGCGGGACCCAGACCCCGCGGCCGCCTCCACCACTGGCTGCACCGGCTCCAGAGGGCCCCAGAGGAGTCCCAGGCGTGCCTCGAGGCCTCCGTCACCTTCAACCTCTTCCGCCTCCTCACACGGGACCTGAAATGTGTCGCCAGCGGAGACCTGTGCGTCTGAAAACCTGGACCCACACCCAGCCCGTCCGAGACCCAGACCTTCAGTGTGCACCGGGCCTCATCCCTGCCTTAAGTTATTTCCTCGCAATCCCTTATTTATGGACCTGCAGCCATATCCCTAAGAAATGTTTATTTTTCTACTTTTGTACAATGTGCAGCAACACGACTGAAAACCCAGATGAACAAAAACATTTCAAGGAAAAAGAAAAAGAGACAAATGGGGTCCTGAGACTCTCCAGGAACAGCCTGAGGGTAAAGGTGACTTAAAGGTCTATCCACCAAATGCAACGTGGAGACCTTATTTGAGCCCTGATACAAACAAACCGCTTTTAAAATATGGATTCATACAACAACTGGACATCAGAACGTTGACTGCCTATCGATTGCTATTAAAGAATTATAAAAATTTAGATGTGATAATAGTATTATTGAAATACACCGAACCAGATGTCTGGAATTTGCTTCAAAGGAATTTAGGGGTGAGGGAAGTGGGCGGACAGGTTGGCCACAAGTTGGTAAGGGTTCAATCGTGGAAGCTGGGTTCAGCGTACATGAGGGTTCGTTGTACTTTTGTAAATAAGACGGTTTCTTAAATGAGAAAACGGGGAGGGGGTGTGGTTTAAGCAAGATAATGGCTCATTCCTCTCTTACGTGAAAGCTCTGGAGGAAAGGCTGAGGTCAGCAGGGCAGGCTGGCTATGATGGCGGCTTCTTAGGCATCAGGGACCCAGCGCTCCTGGCCACTGCCCTACCCTCATCACTGGGCTCCGGCTCAGAGTCTAAGGGGGCTGCACCCCTCCAGCTGGGAAGGAGGATCGGGATGGGAAGAACAGGACCCCTTGACAGACATGTCCTGGAAGCCACCCGAACCACTTCCCCATCCCGCTGACCAGCCGCGGCCACACGACCACGCCCAGGTGCAGGAGCGGCTGGGAAAGGTGGTCTTTACTCTGGATGGGCCTGCGTCCAAAATCCAGGGCTTCTGTCACCAAGGGAGAAAGGGTGAGAGGAGAAGGGGGTTCAATTCGAAGTGTGTGCCACAGTGCTTCCCCCTCTGAGGTGGGCGGGGTGCCACAGACCGGTGTCGGGGCTGCAGCAGCGCTTGCGGACAGCTGGAGGGCCCAATGATGGTACACAGGCTTGTCATTTACATACACAGATCACACAATCTGCTCTGAAGTCCCCACGCCGATTTGGATGCGGCAGTGAGTGTCTGGCTTCCTCCGCGCTCCCGGGCCAGGCACGCACCTCTAGGAAGCTGCTCTTCCTGGCGGTGCCATCGCCCAGGCCGTGGCTAAAACCAAACCCAGCTCTTGGGCCTCGGTCTGGCCAGAGGCCTGGATTATTTATTTGTTCACCGACGCATGAAGTGCAGAAACCTGCTATTCTCAGACAGCTGAGGCGCCTTGTAGGGGCCAACCGAGCAGTGGTCACCATCAGGCAGAGACCCTGCTGCTACCGAAAGCCAGGATGTCCCCAACCACGGCTGCTCTCCTACCGCCCATGAGGTTTTTGCCATGTATCTTGCTTTTAATCAACATCCTTCTGAAAAACACTTACATTAATTTTTAAAGTGATCTCATAACACTCTGTAGCTGGAAAAGCACTATGGCCTGATCCGGACAGAAGGACAGGAACACCTAGCTAAGACTCCGCCTACGACTCTGAGACTAACACCGGCTTCCTCTCTGGTAAAGACAAGCTAGCATTAAACGGACTTTCTCCTTACGGCATTTAAATGGGTCAAAAGAATTAAAAAAACAATTTTTTTTTCATAATGTCCTTCAATGTTATTTAATGCCCGTCAGTCACCACCAATAATCATTTCTGCTGGAGTATGCAGTCCCACCTCTAAGAAACAAGGCTGAACTTGGCACACCTCAGTTTCCCCATCCGTAAGATGGGGATCATAACTAGTTTGCAGGATGACGGAGACAATTCTGAGGAATCACGTCCAGGAAGTATCAGCATACAGGGTGCCTGGCTCACAGATGAAGCACAGATATCATTATCAGTTTTGTGGAGGAGGAAATGGCAGTCCTGTTATTAGAGAATACAGCTTGAGCAAAACCAAAAAATCCAAGCAGCCCAGACTTCAAAAGCAGCAGGGAGGGAGGGACACAAAACTCCAAACATTTTGTTTAAGCATGGAAGACACTTTATTATTTTTTAAATCGTCTCTCAACATTTCAACTCTTGGTAGAAATCAATCTCAAAACATCTGCCTTTTTAAGTTAGCGTATATTTAACCACCTCAATCACAGCAACCTCATATAGTAAGGTACACACCAAGGCAAAGGCCCGAGATCTCCCGATTCCAGCCCACGAATACAGCTATCTCCATGAGGACACGTGCGCCCGACTTTCCCAGGACGAGGCGGGCACCCCTGCTTCTGCCCACCGTAGAAGCTACCTGGCATCACAGTTGGTAACGAGTTCCTGTAGTGCTGGAGCGATCTGGGAATGGAAAACTAGAAAACTAGACCTCTCATGAGTAAAACAGGCATCGACACTTCTGAAATGTGGAAAGGAAGAACATCAAAGATGACGACCCCAGAACGGGCTGGTCTCAGTAATAAAGGGGGTTGAAATTCAGCCGTATATACACAATGAGTATCTACATGTGCTCTACTAGATATATAAAAAAGAGCCAGAGAAGATTTGGAAAACCTTAAAATCACTCCACTGAGTTGGAAGAACATCAGCAAATTCACAGTGGCCTCAGGATTCAGCCGGGGTTAAACGTGTTCAAGAGCTGAAGACCTCCTTCTACCAGAAAACCCACTGCATGTCAATTCCCATGATATTCTGTACATCACAAACACATATGGCTAAAATACGTTAGTTCACAAGGAAGCGGTTTGTATTTTCAAACGCTTGCCCCACTCCTGCTCTGCACCCCAAAAGGAAAATCCGGGGGGCATTCACACGAGGAGTTGAAGGGGCCTTCGGGTTTGGAAACGCTTAGGCTCAGCTGAGTATCTCAGGAGACGTCCGTCTGACGGGCACACGCTGACTCGGGCCCACTTTTAGTGCAAAAAAGATCACCGATGTTGCAGAGGAGTCCTGGAAACCGGCGAAGAGGGCTGAGATGGAGGGGCGGGGAAATCCCAAATGATGTTCCTTCTCAAACAGGACTCAAGAAGTTTGGGGTGCGGGGTTCACACGCGGCAAATGGCAAAGACCAGGCTGCAGGTCCGCAGGGCGAAGCTCCTGAACGGCCCCTAGGCTATCACAGTCCGCAGGTGCACAGAACCCCCGGCCCGCACTAGCCCCTAAGTGTCCGCTGGAGGTAGGTATGTAGAGATTCACTGTAGGGAAGACGGTGGCTCTCCACCAGTTCTGGGACATGGTCTGTCCCTCCTCTGCCCCCACACTCTCTGCTCTGCCCTTGGGCTGTGCTGTGTAGGATACAACACGGAAGGGGAGGAGACCCTCCCTTGGAAGACTAAAGAACCCAGGCCGTTCTGTTTGTATAAATAGCTACACAACTAATGTTTTAACCACTGTGAAACACATGGCAAGTTGAATATTTATTTAAAAATAAATCTCAAAAATATCTATTTACAGTACAGTAAGAGGGGCGTGTGCAAACAACAGAAAGGGGCAAGTCCATCCTGCCATGGAAGGTCCACACTTCAGTGCGTCGGAGCAAAGTGCACAAACACCAGGGGCTGAACTGAGCTGTGGTGGCAACAGGGCGCCATTCAGTTAATACTGGACTCAGTCCACCTTCGAAACCCAGACAGGTGGAAGTGAGGGGCGGGGCGTCCGGGAGGGGGGTCCTTGCGTCCGGGAAGGGGGCAGCCAAGGGATGAGCCCCTGGAAGAGGCCCGGTGTGGCAGGAGGGCTCATTTCACAAGCCAGCAGGCCTCTAGCTCGGCGCTCCAGGCGGGCATTTGGAGGGGACCCAGGGGGCCCTTCCCAGTCCAAGTTGGCTTCGCAGTGGGAGGGGCGGGTGTGGCAAGAGTCTGAGGGAGAGAAATCCTCTTCAGAAACAAAACAAACAACGGAACAGGGAGTGGAGAGATTAGCAAAAATGAATCTGAACGGAAGTGCCATCCTCTCCCTCGTCAGGTGACAAAGCAGCCATCAGTGTAAATACCTGGGTCATCAGGTGAACTCGCAGGGGGTGCAGCCTACCCCACGGTCCCCGGGCCCCCACATGGTCGAATGCAGGCCTCCGCTTCCGAGAACAATACATGAACACTTCTTCCCTGGGGGGGGGACCCAAAAGTCAGTGGTGTAGCCCTTGGAGCAGGGGGTGCAAGGTCGAGTCTATCTGTACACGAGATGGGACAGTTGGGTGGACTTGTAGTTCAGCTGGTTGTTGGGCATGAACTTGTGCAGCTCACTCTTTTTGCAGCAGGGGTCATAATGGTAGGCGCTGAGGCAGGCGTCACAGGAGACTTTTGAACACTGGGTGCAGGTGTTGGTGGCTCCCAGGCGGTTACAGAAGCCACAGCGGGAGGTGGCCGTGGCCGAGGGCTTGGATTTCGGGTGGAGGTGCGGCAGCCGGTCAAGGCCCTGAGTCTGGCCCGCATACTTCTCCCGCAGAGACGACCCGTGGGCCAGGCTGTCGTGGGCAGAGGCCTTGCTGGGGAAGGCGCCGGGCTTGGAGGCCGGGGGACAGGCAAGCAGGCCGTCACAGCGCTGGCAGAGGGAGGAGCTGCAGGACAGACCGCAGTTTTGGCACTTGGACAGGGCGGACTCTTTGGCGGGGGGCGAGCGCTTGTGGTAGAGGGGGTGCGCATCATTTCTGAGCAGCCACACGTCCGGCCGCAGGGCGTCCTGCCTCCGGTAGGTGGCCCGAGGCTCCGAGTCTGTGTAAAGATCCACGTCATCCTGAGCGGAGAAGTACGTGCCACGCAGCAGGCCCAACCCGTTGTTGGGGGAGGGGGACGGCAGGTCATCCGGGCTTCCGTGGGGGGAGCTGGACATGGCCAGGAGCGAGGGGGACGGGCGGATGATCTCATCCTTGAGGCCGTCGCCCACATCTGCTGCCACCGGCTCCTTCCGCAGGCTCAATGAGGCCTTCAGGGGCGGCTTCCGGCTCTCCCAGCAGCTGTCGTAGGCATCCACAGACCTCGAGGGCTTGGTCACCCGAGGCTTGTAGTAGTCCTTGGCCGCCCGCTCGCTGGCTGACTTCTGGAGCGCCACGCGGGCCATGGAGGCCGTCAGGTGCTCCCGGCCCTCGGCCCGCCGCCGCAGGGCCTCCGAGCAGCCCCGCACGTCCTCCGTGCTGTTCTTGCGCTCGTTCACCACGTCCAGCTCGGAGTAGCCCTTGTCCTTGACTTGTGAGTGGATTTCCAGCATCTGCTCACACTCCACCTTGGCCAGAAAGAGCTCAAAGGAGACCATCTTCACCTGGAGGGTCTCCACAAGCTCTCTGAGTTTGTACGCGGTCCCTAACTCAGGCGTGTAGCCCATGTGATGCAGGATGGCCCGGGTGTCCTCTTCCAGTAACGACGACTTGACATAATAAACGAAGGGGCCCGTGTAGGTCTAGGAGAAGGAAGGGGACAGGAAAAGAGAGGTGGGATTTGCTCTCGGAGACACACGCGGTCTGAGCACACCCAAGTCTGAGCGGGAGGAGCAGGAGCACGGGGGAGGAGAGGGGACAGAAAGATCTCAGCAGCTCCCCCTGTAGCAGACAGAGGCCAGCTGGGCACTCCGCGTGAGGGGAGCTGCTTGGCACTCCTGCCTTGAGCGGGAGGGCACAAAGCCCCCAGCTTCCCACACAGGGCTCGGTGGCTCTGCTCCATAGGAGGCAACAACAGGGCAGACGCGGCGAAGAAAGGGGACGGATCAGAGCAGAGGCAGAAGGCCCAAGGAGCAGGAAGAATATTCCTTTCTGGGTTTCGGCGACGCTCTGAGGAACAAAAGCCTGGCTTTGTGGAAACTCTCCTGAGCCACCACTGCCTTGGGAAGGATTCAGAATGCTTGCTCTCTCTCAGATCGATCCTCCACTCTCCCGTCTGCTCCCACTCAGTCCAAACCGGCTCTCGGGCGCCCCAGTGCCGGCGGCAGCGCCCTCACCGGCCTCCCCGCCCCACTGCCCTCGTTGCCGTACCACAGCCAGAAGAACGCTTTCCAAAGGTAAGCCTGGCCCCGGCCTGCCTTGCCTCCCAGCCTGCTGAGGGTGATTTCAAGCCCTCTGCTCCGGGCTTCAAGGCCCTGCATAATCAGGGTGCTGCCTTCCCTTCCAGCATCACGGCTTCAGATGGGAGCCGCCAGGGACAGGGACTCGGTAAAGGGAGGACACTCGTCAGACAGTCAGGGCAGGGAGCGGAAGAAGGCCCTCTGGCTGCTGTATCAAAGGCGGTGGGCAAGGCAGATGGGTCTGCAGGCGGAGGAGGGGTGTAGCCGGCACAGCCCAGCTCAGGTCGGATGGGGAGGGGCAAGAAGGGAGGCTGGCGTGGATGGCCCTTCCCCAGGCCTTACCTTGATGCTTCTGAACTCCTTCTTCCACGGGTAGAGGAAGAGGTTGACACCGACCGTCTCCAGCACGCTGAAGGCACAGTGCAGAGCCCGCAGGCTGGAGGAGCTCAGCGAGCGCAGCGAGCTCTCCACCACCTCGTAGAACTGGATCAGCCGGAATCGATAAAAGGGGTCCACCTTGTGCAGGCTGAGCAGGGTCGAGGCTGCCACCCGAAGGCACTCGTCACTGCCGGGCCGCTGCCTGCTGGGGGTGCCGTCCACTCTGCCCTCGTGGAACTGCACGTACTTCCGGAATAAATCATCCTTGTATTTTGTATCCATTGAACTGGGCTTCCCCATCCGATCCGGGGACAGGGGCGGCTACCTTATCTCCTCCATGGCTTCCCAGTTCGAGGCAGTGACATCGCTAACAGCACGGACATGTTGCCCACCTGGACTGGGGGCGTGCTCTGGAAGGAGAAGAACAAGAAGCACATCATTCCTCGAATGGGTCCGCACACCAGCTGTGGCTGCCGAGGCAAAACAAAAGACAGAACTGGCCTGAGCCACGCTGGGCACCACCAGCCCGAGGCCCCTCTCTGTGCATCCGTTCAACACATTTAACTGAACACATACCACGTGCAAAGATGTAGTGGAAACAAGACAGATAGGTCCTTGGACTTTGCGCAACTCATAAATGACGCAATGTGATTAGGAGCACCCAGCCCAGTTTTGCAGGGAGAAGGAGAAGGTTTAAAAGATCCCCCCACCACGTGGAACTGGAGTGTATTATATGCTAAGTGAAATAAGTCAGACAGACAAAGGCAAATATCATCTGATTTCACTCATATATGGAATGTAAGAAACAAAACAGAGGAACATAGGGGAAGGGAAGGAAAAAGAAGATAAAAACAGAGGGAGACCAACCATAAGAGATTCTTCAATACGGAGAATGGAGGGTTGCAGGAGGGGAGGTGGGGGCGAGGGGCTAGGTGGGGGATGGGCATGGAGGCGGGCGCTTGTTGGGAGGAGCCCTGGGTGTTGTGTGTAAGTGATGAGTCACTAACAGGGTGCTACTCCTGATCCCAATACTACACTGTGTGTTAACTAACTTGCATTTAAATAAATAAATAAACAGCTACCTCCCAAACCCCTACCGCAGGCAGGGAAGGTTAGACTGGAAGGATGCAGAGTCTGCCGGAGTCTGCCACGCCAAGAGGCGGGAGCGGAACACCAGAGGCGCTGCCAGGGAGGAAGGCCCGGAGCTAGCACTATCAGCACTTAAAATGCGCCAGCCACTCTCATGCACACTACTGCACTTTGCCTTTTTTTTTTATTTTTTTATGTTTTTTATTTATTTCTGAGAAAGAGAGACAGTGTGAGCAGGGGAGGATCAGAGAGAGGGGGAGACACATAATCCAAAACAGGCTCCAGGCTCTGAGCTGGCTGTCAACACAGAGGCCAACATGGGGCTCAAACCCACGAACCGTGAGATCGTGACCTGAGCCGAAGTCGGACGCTTGCTTAACCAACTGAGCCACCAGGCGCCCCTGCACTTCACCTTCTTAAACCACCCTAGGAGACAGGCACTGCTCTGATCCCCATTTTATGGATGTAAAAGCCAAGACATAGAAATGCTAACAAAGTGCCCAAAGTTACAGAACCATAAAGAGGCAGGGCTGAGACGAGAACCCTGGCAGCCGGGCTCCAAGGTCAACGCCCTTAACCACCGCGCCCTACTTTCCTGAGGCAGGAAGGAGCTTGGCCTACGAACAGAAAGGCCAGTATGGCTGAAGCGGCCAGGGGAAGGGAAGTGGGGACCAGGGATGCATCTGCGGCGCCAGCAGGCAGGACAATGTGCCCGAGGCTCGCAGAGCATGTGAAGAACCACGTATTTTATTCAAAGAGGCACACAAAGCCCCTGAAGAGCTCAAAGCCAGGAGGAGAGGGCCCTGATCATGTCTGCAGCGGCTGCTGCTCCCTGGACAATCCCTGACACCCTCACACATTCGGGCAGGTTTCCAGTCCCCTATACCTATAGCTTATTCCCTATACCTTAGGAACTTAAAGGTTTCTAGTTCCACTGGACAGGACAGAACATTGAGCTGGGGCACACTGAATTTATACTTTTTTTTAAAGTTTATTTATTTTGAGAGAGAAAATGAGTGCGTGTGCACGAGCCGGAGGAGGGGATGGTGGGGGGCGGGCAGGGGTGGAGAATCCCAAGCAGGCTCCCACTAGAGGCTCGAACTCATGAACCGTGAGATCATAACCTGAGCCGAAATCGAGAGTTAAGTGACTCAACCAACCGAGCCACTCAGGCGCCCTGAAGCTGTACACTCCTGCCGTCTGCCTGGGCTGGTGAGTAGAACATGCAGACAGTAACCGAGGTGGTTAGTCCACAGTGCTGAGGACAAACCTGCGTTCCTCATGCTGCCGGGGCCACGGAGGTGGCACAGCACAGATCTGAGCCATAGACAGAGCCCGACTGCCTAACTGTGAGTCCTGGGTCTGCTTCTCTAGGCTACTTGGGTAAATTACTCAGCCTCTCTGGGCCTGTTTTCTCATCTGACAACTGGGGCTGATGATAGTACCTACAGTTCAGAGTTGGTGGAAGGATTATGATCATCAGTATATAAAGGTCTTCACACAGGACGCTCAAAATACGCCCCTGAATAATATGAGCAGCTATTTATTCCTGGTATCTGACAGCGCTATACCTCTGCCAGGCATTTTCTTCTCTTTTATTTTTTTCTTGAGAGAGAGAGTGCGTGCAAGTACAAGCAGGGGAGGGGCTGAGAGAAGATGACACAGAACCCGAAGCAGGCTCCAGGCTCTGAGCTGTCAGCACAGAGCCCGACACAGGGCTCGAACTCTCAAACCGTGAGGTCATGCCCTGAGCCAAAGTCGGACACCTAACTGAATGAGCCACCTAGGCGCCCCTAAAATGCCAAGCATTTTCAAGAAGGTAAGATGAAGAGTGGGCAAATATCTCCGACCAGGTGGCGGATGTGCATTTTCACACTTGCCCGTCCTGACCACAGGCTCCATGGTGCAAGGACCCCGACTGGAGGACTCAGTAAGTTAACTCAGCACAGAACCAGAGGCGGGCAGGGCACGTGCTTCATAAATACCTGCTGTCTGAGTGAAGGAGGCTACTGCTGGCAGTGAGGAAGCAAGGGACTGAGAAGGAAGCTACCGTGAGAAGGGACAGGCCCAGCAGTCCTTCAGATGTGAGTTGAGCTCAGGAAGGGCTAAAGGCCCACAAACCTGGCAACGACCACAAGGTCAATAAAATCATCCACTCTCAATGGGCCACTCACCTGGTTTCTCCAAGGTTTTCGGGAGACTCCCAAGGATCTTAACCAGGAAGCGAGGGGTGAGATGTGCAGAACTGATGACAGAGAGGCCACCTTCTCCCCACCACCGCCCTGCCCAGGGAGCCCCGTGCTTCAGGAACAAATACTCCCAAGGAGCACAAGAGGCAAATGTAAATCCGTTAGGATAAAATCCTACTTCCTGACCAGGTCAAAGGCTTTTCATGGTCCACCCCTGCTCACCCTAGTCCTCCTCCCCTTCCAAGTTCCACCCACACAGACCTTTCTGTTGTTCCTCCTACACACAAAGCTCACTTCTGTCTCGGGACCTTTTGCATGCTCTTCCCCTGACTCTTCACACTCATCATTCAGGCCTTAGCTCCAGTGTCACCCCCTCAGAGGCCTCGCTGACAAGCCCAGCTCAGTGACTCCCACCGTCCCAGTCCCTCATTACTCCATTATCCTGGGTAGTCAGCATCCGAAAGTATCAACGTTATTCATCTACTTCACTTCCTCTCTTCGTAAACCCCCCCCCCATGACCCAGCATGCACCACACAGGCCAGGACCACATCTGCTTCATTCACCACAGTGCCTGTACCACAGCCTCGCACACAGTAGGTGTTTGATAAAACAGGAGAAATGAATGAGGTGTTCACGCTGTCACGCCTTCAGCTTCTCAGTGAGCTCTCCCAGGAAATCTGGGAGGTCAGCTCCATGACAGGACCACGCTGTAAGCAGCCAGAGCTACTGGACCCAACATTCCTGACCTGAGGCAGCTGTGTCCCTCCCCAAGCCCCCATGATTCCTGGGTTTAACAGGTATTTATGCAGCACCTCTCATGCCAGGCCCTCAGATGGGTGCAGTAGGGGGCGGATAATGAGAGCAGGGGCAGGGAGCAGTCATTGGGAATTCATAGCCCTGCCCTCAATCCTAGTTAAAAAAGCTTACTATCAACGTGTGTATTGCAACTCAGGAGAAGACATCATTGCCCCTGCTAAGCAAAACGGAATGTAATTACCACTTTGTAAGAGAAACTTCCATCCTGCCTCTGGTCCCAGGGACTATTTTTTGGTACATCTGAGAAAAATGTAAACCGAGGGACATGAATCCTCCTAAATGCCGCTGTGATTTTTCTCTAAGGAAGTCAGCTTTGAGCCTATAGAGGCTGATTTTTTTTTTCCAAGTCAGCCACTCTCAAGTGCAGTGTCTACGCTCTGTAATCACATCACAGTCCACACCCTGTTTGTTGCTGGCACACAATAAACAAGGAAAAGGGATCCAAGTAGCCCAATTGGTGTCAAGGATGGGAAACCCATCTATGATGAATCCTGAGTCAACCCAGGTAGGTGAGGACAAAGGTGAAAGAAAACGAATGCTAAGAGATAATTAAGGAAAGAGGGACGGGAGTGAATAATCACTAAGGTCCTACTCCACACTAAGCACTGGGCCTTCTGTGTAACTGCATCATCCCATTTAATCCACACACCAACTCTAGGAGGAAACCAAAGTTCAGCCATGAAACAACCTGCCCAGCAGAGCTCCCAAGGGTCTGAGCTGGAATTTGAACTTGGGTTGGCAGGCCCTGAGGCCTGGGTTTTTTCCCCCGTTTCTCTCACTCATTTATTGTTACAATCTACCATTCACCCAGGGACTAGACACTAGGGTCCTCTGCTAAGAGCTCGATGAAAATCAATGAAATCCACAGGACAGCCCCCCAGGTTAAAGAGGAAACTGAGGCTCGGCGAGTCCAAATCACTTGTCCAGGGAAGGAAGAAGTCACAGGGAAGGAAGAAGTAAGATCTGAGGTCCACACCAAGGTCTGATGCCCAAACCCTGACTCAAGCTCGGAGCTATGCTGCTTCGGGGCTGCGTCTGCTGGACAGCTCTACTTGAAAGGGCGAGGCTAAGTCAGAACATCCTATGGCACGGCGAGCAGAGTTGAATTCTAAAAATTCCTATAGTAGCAAAATGCACATCTTCCCACACAGAAGGGGGCAGGAAGAGCCGCAAATCTCTTTAAGAGGTAAGCTCAAGGGCCAAGGGAAGAGGCTGGCCAGAGACCGGCCAGTGGTAAAGCAGCTGACATCATCCCTCCTGAATACATTTTCTGAGAATACAGGCTGCATTGTAGCTGGTCATAGCTGGTGTCTTTTCTGAGCAGAGAGCCAGCAATTTATTCCCAGCACTCTGCAAGAACAACAAAAAAACACACTCTCTGCAAAAACAGTGTGGTTACAGGAGACTAGACAGAGCAATGACAGAAGCCGTTAATTTCTCCAAGCAAACCAAGGATCGGAATGCCATGACGTGCCAGTCGGGGGGAGGGAGGGCGGAAAATGGCACTGTGAACATCCTAACGGCGGCGTCAGGCGGGTGCCCAGAGCCAACAGGCCTGGTCAGCACTTCCTGCACCCACAATCTGGACTCCCTTGGAAAAGCAAGTCAAAGAAGAGAGAAAATATTACAATATAGGGTCAGGGAGGTGGTGGCTTTTTAGTGATGATGACAATTTTTTTAATGGTTATTTTTTTAACCATTTCAAAGGAAAGCTGCATCTGTTTCAAACCCCACTGAAAGGAACTGAAATGATTTGGGGCGGTGAAACATTAGCTTGGCTGTACCTCAGCTGGCCCAGTCAATCAGAAACGTCCCCCAAGCAGCACCTGAAGGAGCCCCCTCCCTGCACAGACAGAAGCCATTTTGGTCCCAGCACTGCCCCGAGTCCACAGGTTTACAGATCTCTGGTCTAGCTTCAGCCAGCTCCGGGTTCCCTTGGCCTCCAAACAGCAGCAAGAGGAGAGCAAGCCATTCAACCCCTTCCACCTCCGGACCCCATCCCTTTGCACTCATTCCAAACCCGAGGATCCTGAGACACATCCGAGGCACCCTCGCACTGCCTGTGAAAACACCAGATTCCCCACACCCCCATCAGATTCCAGAGAAATTCAGACAGACGCCTTGCAAACCTTTGAAAATAACAATAGCTACAACCTGCTGAAAACGGGCTTCCCTACTGGCAGCTGCCTCTCTTAGAGGGGCTCTGAAGGCAGCAGTCCCCTCCCCCCCCCAGGACAGAAGGGGCGGCTGCTATTCACAAACCTGGTGATTCCTAGCCTCTGAGGGCCGGATCAGTTGAGAAAAACACTCCAGTCCCAAACTCAGGCCCCTTCTGGGTTTGTGAATGAATTTACAAACTATCATTTATTGGACGCCTGCTGTATGCCAGAGACGGTGCTTCATAAGCCTTATCTCATTTCATCCCCACTATGGCCATAGCAGGCAAGTTCACTCCCATTTAATTAATTACGCAAATGGAAGATGAAATGACTTGTCCAAGGTCACACAGTGAGGAAAACCTCAGCTCTGCTGCCAGACACTGGGCTGGGGACCACTGCGCGGTAACTGCCTCACGGTGGAGTCGAGTGGCCTCCTACTTGGTCAGTCGCTGAAAAGGGGGTGTTCCTCCTGAGCTGCCCTGAGCCACCCATGGCCGGTCCCAGGAATCTGCGAGGCAGTCCCCAGAGGGGTGGGGATCCTGATGACAAGCGGGGCCCTCGGGACTCCGAAAAGGCGGGCCCGCCCGTCGCCGCCGCCGGCCGCGAGGGGACCCCGCTCCCAGGCTGGCCGAGCCCCGCCGAGTCGGGCGCCCCCTCTGCCCTGGGAAGCGCCGGAGGCCGTTTCCGCTCGCGGCCGCCCCGCACTCACCCCGGCACTGCCGCCAAGGACGCCCCGGCCGAGGGAATCCAGAAGGAGCCGCGGCCGCCGCCGGAGCAGGGCCCCGCCGGGCTCTCGCCTCCGCGGCCGGCTGCAAGGGACCGAAGCCAGTATCCCGGGACCAGCGGCGACCCGGAAACACTAAAGCAGGAAGTGACGTCTCGCGGAGGCGGGTCCAAAGGGAGGCTGGGCCGCGGCTGCGCGTCGGACCGGGGCGAGGCCGATGGCCGCGGACCACGCAGGGAGAAGCGGGAGGTACAATAAAGAGGAGGGGAGTCGCGGAATCCGGTTCTGGGGCTTGGAGGCCGCCGCCTCGGCTCGGACTAGCCCCGGAAACAAAGGGGCCGGACGTGACGCACGCCAGCCCCAGGATGGTGGCTGGCCGGGTTGTCATGGAAACCGGTGTGGAGGCTGGGAGCTGCGAGCGCGCGCTGAGTGATCCTGGGCCTCCGCCTCCCGGACTTGTCTCTTGTTCAGATGATCTGCGAGCGGCTCTCCCGACTGAGCCCGAGCAGGAGCTGACATTTGGAGTCCCCACTTTGCAGACACAAATACCGAGGCTTACAGAGAGCACGTGAGGTCCCAGGATCACGCGAGATGGGATCCGGCCTTGAGAGGACTGTTGACGTTACAGGCTATCTTTAAGAACGGGGCTCCCAGCTTTGCCTTTGCCATTTATAGGGGCGTGACCTTGGGCAAGTTACCTCACCTATCTGAGCCTCAGCTTTTTCTTTTTTTTTTTTTTTTAAATGTTTTATTTATTTCTAGGAGAGAGAGAGAGACAGCGTGAGCAGGGGAGGGTCAGAGAGAGAGGGAGTGACAGACTCTGAAACGAGCCTCAGCTTTTTCACTGCCTTTCATATTGCCTCCTTGCTTTGCGACTTTTCACCAGACACCTTGGTACCTGCATGGTCTACACAGGCTTCAATCGTAGTGGCTTGTCACTTCACTTCATGGATTTGGCTGTACTCCCACCAAACATATTGACCGTGAGCTCACCGAGGACTCAGCTTTTGTGGTTCACCACTCCACCGAATCCTTAGTGATTGCCTAACACCTGTCCAAGACTTTGTCAAACATATTTGCGACTGGACCATCATTCTCTCTCTAACTTAGTCCCAGACATTTATTGAAGACTCAGAGCCCACTCCATGCCCTGTTCTCTTCCTCCATCATGCTCTTCTACCCTTCTGGCCTCTGTGCCTCTATAGGCTGTTCCCTCAGTGTAAATGTTTTTCCCCTCATCCCTTTCCTTCCCCAGATAGAGAGATAGATAGATAGATAGATAGATAGATAGATAGATAGATTGATTCACTTAAATCTGACACCCCACAAGGCCTGGAGCTCCATATTCATCTGTGTTTCCCCTGAGCTCTGCATGCGTCTGATCCGGACCTGCCCAAGAGATGTTCCTTGATTGCAGGACTCTCTCTCAGCCTTAGTGTCCCCAGCTAAGGCCACTGGGTCTTGTCTCAGAGGAGCCAATGACAGAAAACACAGAATACAT